TATCTAGATAAATTACATTAGATAACTCAAGAATTCATCTAAGATAATTCATAAGATAACTAATTTTTTTATTATCTAGATAAGATAAAAGATAATTAATTATTTATCTAGATAATTTATTTAGATAATTTATCTAGATAATGCTCAACACTGGCATACGCGCGCCAAGTGAACGATGTATGAGAAACTCGTATGTCTAAACACGCGCGGCCGACTAACGCGCGTGTACGCGCGTCCATGTGAACCTAGCCTAAATTACCCAAACACAGTGCAATTTTTAAAAATTCGCCCAAACGCATGACTTTCCGGCATGGAATTCGGATATACACCTTTAAGACGTGGCATGCAATTCGGACATTCCAATTTATGTTTATTTTTGGCATGCAATTCGGTCGCACCGTACATATCTTATGTAACAAAAAAAAAAAGTGTCCAGTCATTGATTAAATATATTAATTACGTATATTTAATTAATGGTCCAGTAAAAAAATTTAGATAACTTACATAAAGTTTTTTCATATGTAAAAAATCACAACATTTTTAATAAAACAACAAATTTATGTCTAGTGACCATATTGTTAAATAATAAAATAAAATAATTATTATTGCTTTATTTTAATCAGTTTTTCATGTTTTTTTTTTTTTTTTTGTGATATTTTAGTCCAAATTTATGAATTGAACAAATATGATCTTTTTTGCAGACAACACATATTTTAAAATATGAAAAATTGTATAATATTCTCTAATCCCCAAAATATTTTAAAATTATATAAAATAAATATTTTTCTACAAAATCAAATAATTAACTATAATAAATAAATATAAAAACAAAAGTTACCCTTCAGTTGCATAAAAAAAATATATTGTTTAGATGTTTATAATAAACATTATTATTATGCGCATATTTGTTGCTGTTTTATTGACTAACAACTGTAGATTAGCAAGTTTAGCAATTGTTAATTTTTAATTTTGTTACAGTTATAAATGTTAAGACTGTTTTGTATCCCATATAAAATGTATATTATTATTATTATTATTATTTATATTTCTATTTCTATTTGTATTAAATTTATATTTATATTTAATAATAAATAATTAAAACCTAAGTTTGTGAGTTGTCATATAATTTTATTATCAAACATGTTATGTTTAATATAAATTGGTTTTATTTGGATTTTTAATGAAATATTTTAGACTAAAAATTTTAATTCTTTTTTATAAACACTTTAGACCATATATTACAATTAATTTTTACTAACCTGGCATAATATGTTGAGGATAGTTTTTTTTTGAGGGGGGGAGGAGACCTATTTTTAGTTTTAACACCCTATAAAACGTTTTATAAACAAATTTGTGTAAAAGTAAAAATTAATAGAAGTCTTGTCTTATGGACTACCTAAAAAAATTTGATAGGATTTAGACTTTGGTAAGTGAACATTCCTTTACCATTTTTTGGTGATTATAGTCACTCCTCGGCATTTTCACTGATAAAAAAAATGATTTGCTTTAAAATAATATATAAAAGATAATAAGTTTGAAAACAATTAAAAATAAAAAAATAATTAAACGCTTATCGACTAAGCTGATAGATATTTATTTTATAATAATTCACATTTATATTATAGATAAATAGATAAAACTATATTTTTGATAACCATTGCACATAAGCAGTGGCGCACACAGGATTTTTTTTCGGTGGGAGGGGGGGGGGGGCAAGGTAAAAATATAACACATTTTACAATTAACAAAATTATGCAAAACCTTAATATATTTTGACTTAAATAATAGCATTGATGATATAATAGACTATTTTATAATCAATGATACAAGGTATTTAATACTAGCTCTTCATATTTCAAACTTGTAAAATTTTTAAATTTTAACCTAGACATCGAAGAAAATTTCGGGGGGGTTACAACCCCTTACCACCCCTCTGCGTGTGCCACTGCACATAAGTCAGTTCTAACATATATTATGCTTAACACCACCCTACCACCTGAGACTTGCCCTCTTGCACCCAAAACAAGTTCACTGTCAAACGGTGATATTTCCTACGCTGAGAACCACTGAGCTATACGGAGTACCCTATAAATCACATTCATCATGATAATATTTATTCATAAATATTAAATATATTTAATATATTTTATAAAATTGCACCTACTTACCTACCTACCTAATACGATTTTTTTTTTCTGGCGTTTATATTACCTCTGATTTTAATAATAAATTTGTACTAATTAATCGTTATCCCTATTCCCTACCAGTGATATAATCCTAAAAAAAGTTCTTAATAGTTAGTAAAAAGGGTGTGTGAGATTAATTCCTACAATTCCCTTCATGTTTTTGGTCCATAAGTAATAAGATTATGTTACAAAATAAAGATTCTAATTTAAAGTCAATAAAATGCAATAAAAGACTATTGAAGTATCTTGCAGTAGTGTAATGACTTTTTAAATTATATTTCCGTGCAATAAAATTAAATATAAATAAATAAAATGTAAAAAAAATAACCGTTCCTAATAACGTGATATCAAGGAAATACGTTTGGTATTTTTGATTTTTGTATATAAAAAAAGTCAAAATTTGTTAAAACTGATTATAGCTATAAATATTAATATACCTAATAGCTAGTATAACAGTGTAACTACATATCACAAATTATATAATAAGTATGGGCATCCACCAAAACATTGAGAATTCGTTTAAAAAAAAAACATTTTGAATATATTTAAACTTCGTTTAATACTTTGATAATATTAATAACAGTAAACCTTATACCTTTTAGTTTTCTGACGTTAGCTTACTTTCTTATCGCATGATATCATATCAAGATCATAATCACTAAATAATAAAATCAAAAAACCAATCACTGAATAGTGCATAATAAAACAGAAATGACATAAATTATTTGTTATAATGTGCAATAGTGTTGTAACACGCTTTTAATTAAATTTAATCTAGTTTCGACGTGAACCGGTTTTTAAAATATTTGTAAGCCCCGACGGAATTATGGAAAGTTCAACAGATAAGTCAGCACCAAATAATGTTTCGGACAAGCACAAAGACCGATCTTCTAATGATAATCAAAACAACAAAAAAACCAATAAAGAAATAAGAGAAGAATATTTCAACCAATTACGGTGTTGGTTGGCTACCGTAAACAGTTATCAATGTTTTTATAATGAACTACAACAAAAGTCACTTCAAAGTTATTACCAACAAGTTCCGAATAATACCACCGAGGTTCCTAAAGATAATACGCCAAACACTGTGCCCGAGGTTGTACCTGAAACACAGACAACTGAACCAAATCATTTTGCTGGTATGTTTTGTTCACAAATTCACACAAAACTTGAACTTTTTGATACTATATTATTAAAATTTATTTAGGTATCCGGTGTCAAATACCCTCATTATGGAAGCGTTTTGGAGCTGAGTTCATCGATTTTATACTGCTAAGTATCATCAAGTTTGTGATTGCATACTTTGTTGTAGATTCATTTTTTGACATGTAAGATTCATATTTAAGTAGAAAAAAGTAAACTAATTTAGAAATGCTTGAAAAATGTATTTACTTTTAAACTTATTTTAATCTATAGCCGGTCAATTAAATTGAGCATTTTATCTAAAATAATAACTTTTGCTAAATTTCCATGTAATGTATGTTATAATTATATTAATTCTCTATTTTAAAAAAAGTGGTTTCATTCAACTATGAAGTGAAACAAAATACCAGGATCTAGATGATGTGTAAGCCTTAAAAAAATAATTAATATGCAATTAAAATTTTATAAATCCTAAAAAAAATTCTAATATTTCTTTAAAAAAATATAAACCATCAATTAAATTTTTATATTTTTCTGAACTTACTGTAAGTACAAATAAACATAAATTAACATAGGTGTTTAATTAAATAATTACAAAAAGATTGTTAAGTATATTTAGTATAGTATTAAATATATAGTTGTTCAGGAGAGTGAAAAAATTGAATAAATATTAAAAAATATTATACACCTCTTATTTTTATCAAGTTTAAATTTAATTAATTTAATAAAATTCTTTAAATTTGGTTGCTGTTTAAAATTTAGTGTAGTTAATTGGTATTTACTAAAGTTTTTGTGAGATACATGTTATTAAGCAGTGCTTTAATGTGGTTGAAGTTTATAAAAATACTGAATAATATATCCAATTTGAAGGGGAAATAATTTATTGTACAGACAATACATTTTATACTCAAAGATATAACGAATATTTTGATACCAAAAACTCATTTTATGTAAAATGTCAGATATGTGGTATTGTCATTAGTGTAACAATATAATTTATAGATTTTTAAAGTTATACATATATGAAATTTATTTTTAATCATGTAAAAACTTGTAATTTATAAAGACAATGTATACAAAAAATTATTATAATTATATATGTGTGTATGTACAGATAATATTTATTAGATAATATGAACCTTATTATTTAAAATATATATTAACTATTATTATGATATTCATACATATGTATTAATGTAGCGATGCAATATTTCTCAAGCTCATTTGGCTTACGTATTTCGGATTAGCCTGTATTCGGATTGTCAAGACCCTACTGTATTTTCATTGTATCACCTTTTTGAAATATAAATAAGTTCCTCAAATTGTAATTTTTATAATTTATTTTAACTAATATTTACCTGGATATTTTTTCAATCAATTACTATTTTTATCAACATACAATACTATGTCCTCATATAATTATTTTATTTAACTTTGCATAAGTTTATTTTATGTTTCTAGTGATTTTGGCAAGTATAACAGTATTTTTCTGCAAGATGATTTTAATGTGGATTACTCTACAGCTGTAGAAATGACATCTGAATTATTTTTCTTAGAAGTTACTCACCGAGTGATAGTCTGTGTATATGAAGTAATTTGAATTTTTAAATAACTCTTAAAATGATTATATATTTACTTGCAATAGTTTTGGCTAAATTGCTTGTTGTTACATACATTTAAAAAAATTATGTTTTCTCTGTTTAGGTATATTGGCTACAAGGTGGAACATTATTTCAAGGTGGAGCCACAGTTGGTAAAATTATGTTAGATCTCGCTGTGGTTCGAGCTGATAAATTATATAATATAAGAGGCCAGCCCAATGAAGTGATTGCTCTGACTCCTGGTGGTGATCTTGGTTGGAAACGTGCTACACTTCGTTCAATCACTAAAAACTTGTTCTTTGCATTCTTGTTTCCGTTACCTTTTATCACAGCAGCAGCTAATCAAAACAGATGTGCTTATGATGTCTTGTGTGGATCAATGGTAGTTGAAGTTATACAACCACTTAGATGTGATCAGTCTGAACTCATTCCTATTACATAGTTTTAAATAAATAATAATATGTATACATCAGAAAAGTACACTCTAACCTATTTTTAGTTAGTATGTTATTTAATCATAATAAGGAATATTATATTTCGAAATGAAAAGTTTATTGTCTTGATTTGGGAATAACATTGAACATTTTGAATTAAAATATAATTATTTGATTTCTAATATTAAGTATACTTTAAAATTATATTGTTAAATATATAATATCTATTTTTAATTGTTGATTACAATTTTTATTTTATTTTTGGTTGTTTCTTAAAAATGTTTAAAACATTTACATAATAGATGTACATTTGTCATAGAGTACAAGCTTTTTCTTTTAAGTTGCTCAAAATGTAATTTTGTTTCCTCTCAGCCTCTTCTCAATGGTTTAGAACAGTGGTCTTTAACCGGTAGGTCGTGACCCAATTTTGGGTCGTGTAAGCTTTAAGAATGTTTAAAATTTAAAAAATTCATATTAATTTATATTATATTATGTATGTCATATGTAATTTTATAATTATTTTCTTGAATAAACCTGAAACTGTACTATTTTATATTTGTAGAAGACTAGAATATACACTTTTTTCACATACACTCCTACTGAATTAGAAAAAATCCTCAAAATAATATGAGACACATGCCACTAATCATTAACTGTAAATTATATAGTGGAGGAGTGTACACAATACACCTCAATAGGCATGGACCTGAAAATGCCATCCAACATAGTAAAAGTTCTTTAAGAATAGTTGATCAACTTGGTCGTATAGCGATCGTTTTCCGCAAGTGTTGTATGGTTTTTTTGTAGGTATATCCGTCATATCTCGAGCAACAGGACTTGGAGGACTGTTCCATCCTATCAAGTTGTATATAGATAGAGTAGCGGGTGCCTGGACGGCCACCACCGCACCCTCGCCGTCGCTGGATGACGACCGCAGTGGACCCGCTACGTTGGTTCCGGTTTTGACACCGGAACCACCCACTCCTGCCGACCTCTGGGGTTCCGAAGCCCCTAAGGTGGTAAGAATACATGACTTGTAACAGTTCATATTTTAGTTTTTTAAGTGATATCCTTCACTACATTTTTACCCTACTGCCAGGGGGTTTTTGATCAAGGTTTTCCTTCCTCTAGGACGGCTGCCGCCCAAAGCTGAAGAGCCCGTCCTACCCTTTGTCGAGGACCGCTTTGTCAGCCCTCAGTTCGTCGACCTGTCCAACATGGGAGACCCTGTTGGTAGTAAACTACCGTTGGCATAGCTCTCGGAACTGTTGAGGGACGCAAGCCCCCACCACGTCAAGGTGTGTCCTCATGGGGGGGAGGTCAAGGCGTCACACTGGATGAGGGACATATCCAGCCCTACCAGTGGTTAAGAATATTTTTTTTTCTACACCTCTATAAGTATTAACTGCAAGAGACTGTCTCATAGCCATCCAAAACAAACCTGTAAAATATATTGTGAGGGGTCTCGTACTTGCCTCGAAAAAAATTGTGACGTTGAAAGAATAAATTATGGCGATCCGCCACACGAAGCATTACCTCATCGGCATAACAAGGTGGTGGACTTACTGCCGGTTTTTAAGGAAAAAAAATCCCACCGTACTCAGAAAACCCACAGGTGGTGTTATTGGAACAGTCCACGTTTTTACCTATTATTATTAAGTAAGCATTCTTTATTGGTCTCCAAAACTTGTAGAATTAACTAAGCGACGTACGTGAATTTATCTGCAAGAAATTGAACACTCAATTCAAATTGTTGAACTTGCTCCTCAACAAGTGTTTTTAACACAAGACTGTTGCTATTTGAAATGTTATGTTTATGTATTGAAAGTATGACAAACTTCAACGAAATGTATTTTCAAAACTTCAACGAGGAACGTATTACGTACACACCTCATTTGCTTCAAATATTTGAAGTATTTGTGCCCACAAAGGGTGCCGAGTGTGCTCTTGCATCCTCCAAAATGTTGTAAATGGAGCCCTTAAAATTTAATTCTAAGAGTATGGGGTTCGTATTTTAACTGATTTTACGTAAATTAAATGTAATTTATTCTTAAATATTTGACAAAAAATAAATTTTGTGTCGTAATAGAAAATCTAAAACTAAATTTTAGCGCAAAAACTTAATGATAATATAATATAAAGTAATATAATATATATTATATAACATAATATAACTTTATGATAATATAAAAGCTAAAATTGACTACAAAAGTACAAATAATAAAAAAAATACTAAATTATTATTGCTGTCTGAAAAAAATATACGAGATTCAAGAAAAACATATTCATTGGGACTAATTACAATATTAAATAAAAAAATTGATTTATGTTTATTTAACTTTTATATATTATTAATATTATTAATATATTATTATTATATATATAATAATATTATTATTATTTATTAAATATATCTATACAATTTTATTGAGATAAAGCCCAAATTAAAGTAGGTACCCCTGAAATACAGGTCTTCACATGCCTATGAGTGTAGTATACTGGAATTAAAAGGTATTTGAAATAAAAAAGTTTTGACATTGGAAATCATTTGACCTTAAAATCATAGTTAAAAATAATTTTTTTTTTCAATATTTCATAATTTCTTGAAGGGGTCGGAAAAGGTTAAAAATTCTTACCTGTTTGAACTATCTGCTCGATGGATGTCTGCATAGACTATCTCTATTAACTAACAAATCCGCTATTTCAAAAGTTGACAAAAATTACCACTGATCAGCGGTATTTTAAAAATATTTAACTGACAAATTATAATCTCTTAAACTTGAGCCTTTAAAGTGATAATGAAACTACAAATAGATGTGCTTGTCGGAACTACAAGCTACTGTGTAGCTCAAAATGCCACGAAAAAATCACATGTAACAATAAATAAATACCTTTATATTATTAATAAATAATAATGTTACATGTTATACATTTATGTTACATATTTGTACTGTGTTATTATCAATAACCCTTAAAATAAAATAATTAAAATGGTTTTTACCATAAAATGATTGTAGTTCTTAAAAGGCCTAACTGAAATTAGTATGTATGCAATGAGCCTAAAAAACAGCAGGCTGTTTGAAAAAAATAGTAAGTAATTCTTAAAAGACCTAACAGCTGTTAGTCTGTATGCAATGAGCCTGAAAAACAGCAGGTTGTTTGGAAAAATAATAAGTAGTTCGCAAACAGGCTACCCCATTGCAAACAGCTTAGTCTTTTTGCAAAAAAATTAATTTTCCATATGGCCTACGACATGAATATGAATATGATTTTATTCATGTGTAGTACACATTGAGTTACATTTAAATAATGTTTTTTCAATTTTTAGAAATCAACAATGAGTATAATAAAACTAATGATTGTTACTTTTGAGTATAATAAAACTTAAAAGTAACAATTATTTTTCAAAATTTAATATAATTTGAATTCTATGAATTGCAATATGTAAATTAAAAAAAAGGTCATGATGAAGCTGCAGATAAATTAAAAACCACTTGATAACAAGTATTTTTTATTTTAAAAATAACAACACATTTATATACAGTATAAAACACAATTTAACAAAATGTATACTTTAAATTTACTTTAACAATTAGTTTATTAGTCATAATACAAGAATTTTCGAAGGCTCACTCAATCTTGTGGTAGCTATATAGAAAATAGTTGGTAGTGGAATAAGTAACAACAAGGCATAGTCAATGGATGGGTTTGCCAACTGAGTGATGGCGATAATACCAAATCCATGACTGACCCAATGTATAGCTACAATCAGTATGTTTCTTGGAACACATACGGTATGTTTGATCAAATGCTTAGCAGACTATAAAAATGAAAGAATTGTTATAAATGTTCTTTTAATATATCGATCGGTATACATCACCTGATTAATTTCAGAAGCAAAATGAATGGCACTCGATATAACAGATACGACAATCACAATGTAAGGGAATGTAACATCTAACATAAAAATGTTTGAAAAACTTACTTGAAATTAAATAATTAATTAACGTAATTAATTTAACAAAATATTGATTTTTAATATTTACTTACAAACAATACCACCAAGAAACGCATGAATTACAGCTGCAATAGGGAAAAAATATAGTCCAGCATACACTGTTTTCAAATATGCCCCACAATTAAGACTGAAATAAGCGCACAATAAAGGACGCACAGTGAGCAAAACAATAATACAAGCAAAATAAAATATAAAAATCATGGAGTATCTGGAAAAAAAAAAGAATAAAAAAGACAATATTAATTGATGCATATACCTAATTGTATTTTTTAATCATTGAAAATAAATAGTGCTGTACATGAAAAGGTAAGAGATAAAGCTCTCCCACTTTAAAGAGTTTAAGAGTAATGAGAATTTATATACATTTATTTATACATCAATCATAAGTAACAGAAAAATTTATAAAAAATAACATAAAAATGAGAAAAAAGGCATAGCTACAGCATCATAAATAGATGCAGGCTATTATTTATATTCAATGATATAGATTGTAACAGTAAGCTAACTTACAATGGATAAACAGCTTCTTGAGTGCATCGTAAAGATTCAAGATAATATGGTGTTGGGTTATACAACACTGTATACCAGTCGGATAGCCATTTAGTACGACATGACTGAATAACTAATTCACCCATAGGGTCCACAGCTAAGACTGTAGTAACCGCTGCAATAATTACTTCTAATATTGCTGATATATTTAAAATCATTATTGTTTTAGTTTTTTTCCTGCCACTGTAATGAAAATAAATATATTTCTCAATTATACGATAAAGGTTTTGAAATAAAAAGTTATTAAAAATTAATAATCTAAATTGATACCTTTTAACTTGAGACGCCCATGATATTGACGATAGAGATAAATCTATATATACAGTATGGAATAACAAGGGAACAGCAGCCATGAACAAGAGGTACATTAAATCGTATGGAGAAGGTGTATCGGTGCACAGTTGACAAATATAGGACAGATTAACATTAACTCTTGTACCTGAGGGACAAGAACCACAATCACTAAAAAGTCCGTTTCCTAACTCACGCCGACCACAGTAGTAACCAGGACATCTCAAATTTTGTATGTTGTTCCGATTCTTAAAATGAACAGAGGTATTAATAAACAAAAAATTCAATCAAATCTGAATTACTGATTCAATTAAATCGGTCAAACTCACAGAATAATGATATTCTGCCATTGTGTAAAGTATTACAGCTCCAAATTGTATAGTACAGTGCTGTAAATCTGCAGGCACAAAGGTAACAAATTAATTTTGACGCACATGAATAAATAAACTAAAAATTGTGGACTCACTTTAGAAGTGGAAAATTATTTATGCTACATTGAACCTACAATGGGAAGAGTATTCGCGTGATATTATGTCATATTTTAAACTGTCCCAAAACTTTTTGAGGGTATCAGTTTTAAGTAAGATAAAAAACGGTTACAAGGATAAAAGTTACGCGCACTGAAAGCAAAATAAATAAATTATATTGTATTTATGGCAAAAGCAATTTAGTTGACTATTTACAAAATTTCAATACAACGTGTATTACGAACAATTTGTTAAAAATTGCAACATTTTTATAACGTACCTTATCATTTGATCTCAAGTGTTATTGTTTTTGTTTACGTTTGTGATAAATAAAATTAGTAATTTGAATCACATGATTTGAGGGGCTTGGGTCAGTTCTTCTCATTGATAAGAGATAAAAAAACAGTGTAAGTCAGTGGTTTTCAACCTTTTTAACAACGCAGTACATTTCATCTCCAATAAAATTTTCGCGGCACACCAACCCATATATTATGTGAACCATATTTTATAGATATGTATATGTGTATGTATTCTGTAACCATAATATTATTTTTTAAATTTTATTACGAATCTGACTATTCAAAATGTAATCATATTTTACATAGAGGTGTGCCTGGGATCAAAATGTAGGACAGGCCCAGTTATAATTATTTTAATTTTTATAGGTACAAATTTTAATTTTTTTTTTTCATAAACTTTTTTAAATTGAATTAGAAAAAATTATCATATGTAATATTTTCCTTCTGTTTTTACATGTTAATAATATTTAAAGATTTTAAAAATTAACTAATGTTGATGTAAAAAATATTAATAATAACTATTTGAAAACAGGTTAGGCTCAAACATGGAATGAGAATTTAAAATTTATTACTTCACATCATAAAGTAATAAATTCTAAACGAAGTTCATGCCATAGAAAAGATAACGTTTATGTGCAATGTGCAATTCAAGTTACTCAGAATTAAAAAAAACGCATTAGCACCGAATTAATTTCTAAGTTTTTTTTTTTTAGTTATCATAGTATAAATTACCTCCACTCATTCAATTTAATTATCTACTCGATTAAATCGTCGATATTAATTTTTTGTACAGTAATAGTTGATAAAATAAAAAGTGTATTGAATTATATAAACAACTAAGATTTTATTATATTATGAGAATATCATCACATGGAGATGACTGAGTAGTTTTTTCAAGTTTATTTAAACCATCACCCTACGTAGGGCACATTGCCATCATAGACATATAAAGATCTATGCCATACGTCCCGGAAAACTGGGATCGTCAACGGTTTTGGATTTCGTGTCCCCGTGTCCCAAAAAATGTTTTTGGGACGTCCATATGTCCCGGCTTAGACGTTTAGAGGAAATTTAGTATTATTTAATTTTTAATTTCGACCGTTTTATCTCAAAGTACATTTTTAATCGTAATCGATTAACAATATATAATAAAAACATAATTTGTAATTTACACATATAATGTATATTATATTTTATTTTACAAAATTTTTTTTAAATATTATATTCCCGGCTATTAATGGTCTTCTTTATTGGTGTATATATAACTTTTATATGAGTGAATCATTTGAAAACAAATCATTATTTTTATTTTTTACGTTACTAACGTCCTCACGCTAAGAACAGTATTTTATAAAATTTAAAAAGCCTAGGAGGGATCTGACCTCCACATCCCCACCTTGTATACACCACTGGTTCTCTCCTCTTAATATATTTAAAGTTATATAAAAAGTATATTACTTAATATTGTGTTTGTGTTGTCTCGGTTTCTCCTTATAAATTTATGGCAACCTTAACCTACAGCCATTGATTAAATATAGTATATTTAATCAATGTTACAGCATCTAGTGTTATAGAAATATTATATTAACTGCACTAGTTTAAGTTTGTTGACAAGTATACATTAAACCAATTGAATATGATTGATAGTGTAGCCAGTGCTGGTTCAGGTTCGACTCAACATATTTGTATAACTTGGTCATGTTCACATTCTGACACTAGTTATTTAATTCTTTTGCTGTTACTTTTGATGTATAGAATTTATTTTTCAAAATTTAAAACTCATAACTGCTGTCTTACTTTAAAATTCAAATTTTTTCAGACAGTCACATAAGTTTTCATGCATCTCCATTTCATGTATGTAAAGTAGTTTAATTTATAACTGTAGACAATAAGTGTTTGGTATAAACAATAAATACTGGAAAAAAAATTTAATTGAAAAATTTACAATATAATACTAATAAACTAATAACTTATCACATATTGAAATATGATTTAAAGATATTAATGAATGTATGTTTATTTCAATATACGTAAATAAAAAGATACAGACTTACATATATATACAAAAAATACAATACAATACAATATTTTACAGACTTTGTTCAATTGACTGAAAAAATGTATTTGTAAATTATACTAGTCCAGGCATGGAAGAGGAATCAGAATTGACAAAACTATCCAGATTGTCAAGTATGTCATAGTTAATTTTTGACGACAATTTTTTCTTTTTCAAGACTCGTTCTACAGCTTCAGCTGCAGTCTTAGCAGGAGTCCGTAATGAATCTTTAGCTTTTTTTTCTTTAGCCCTAATCACTTTTGGGTTCTTGGCTCTTTCTTCTCGGCTTATCTGCAACTTTCTGAAAGCAGTACCATGCATTTTCATCCACATATCTCTTTTGATCTGATGACTTTCTTTAGATAGGATATAAGAGTCTATTTCATCCTCATCTATTTCAACAAGGCATAATGATTCCTCTTCATCATCATCTTCATATGTTCTTTTATTATCAGACAAACCCATAATTTCTAATGAAGGGCCGACATCCTTAACAGTCCTAGTACCGACTTCAGGATTTGATGACTCTGAAGCAATATCAATCAAGTTGACTCCTAATACTTTGGTATTTTTTTTCTTACTTAATTCTTTTTCAATTGCAGATTTCACTTCATCAATTACTTTTTCACTATCATTTGCTTCAAAGAATTTATCTATGCGCTCCTTGTCTTTAGCACGTGCTATTCGATATGAAGGAGGATCATGAGTTTCCTCCAAGTCAACAGTCATAAATTGTTCAATTGATAACATACTAGATGGGGTGTCTTTGAACTCTAACAAACGTTTCTTGAGTGTCGCGTGATGACAATGCACAACTTTAATAATGTCATCAGTAGTACGGTTGAAGTCGTGCATACGTCCTGCAATTAGCAGAGCTGCACCACATAAACTGGAAGGTCTTCTACCTAAAATATTAAATTAAAAAAAAAATCATAAACTAATAGTAATTCATTTGGAGAATAGTTTTACCTGTATGAATTGAGTCTCTCATCATTCTCTGCAATAATCGCATTGCTGTAGTATATACAATATGAGTTTTGTCACCAAAATCTAAAGAATTGACAAAACGCATAAGAAAAATACTAGGATCAAGGCTAGGCACTGTCAGAGTTAGTGTTTGCATCATTCTTAGGTATGTCTTTCCCAATTCAAATGCATTAACTTCACTAGCATCGGCTACATCTAACAGCATGTGCATAGTACCTTCCATACGACACGCTATGTACACACAAGCTGCATATATTAGAGCATTTTTTCTGCCACGTGTAAAATGTCTTTTTAATGCCATGTTATAATAGACACAAGCATTTTCCAAGGTCTGTGGACTAAGATTTAGGCTATTGCTTAACACTTGAATACCACGTCGTGCCTTAGCTTGTGTCATTTCTCGAGAAGGTTGTTTCATGCCATGATGAAAGGCACTACCAAAGTTATGAAAATTAGCAGCTTGAGAATCAGAAGATAGAAATTGTCCAACAGCACGAGATCCGTGATCGGTTTCTTCAAATTGAACTTCGGAGACAATGTGTGATTCATCCATAACACCTCCACAATCCATGCAGACTGTAGGTCCATCACTGGAATCAAGGTTCAAAGATCCACAGTCTGAACACTTCATGGTTGCTTCTTTAATTTTATTTGTTTAACAGATATCTGAAAAAATTTAATTATATCATATTTATAATATTATGAATAAGAAAGATTTGATTGTTTGTATTGAATAGGCTACGAAACTACTGAATTGATTTAAATGAAATTTGGTACATAGATAGTTTAGAAACTGAGAAAAGACATAGGCTACTTTTTAATACTAAAAAAGGGCTGTAAGGGGTTGACATAGGGGATGGTATATTCTATATATATATATATATATAAAAAGTGATAGGCCTAACCGCGGAAGAAGCTCAAACAAACATTTTGAGATTTACAATTGAAATTTATGTTTATAGATGGTTGCTATTAATTTCAATAATAATAATTAGTTTGAAAGAAATTAATATCCCTGAATTCAATTGAATAATTAAATTTTCAGAATTTTCTGGGTAAAATTACATAATGATAAACTAAATTGAATGTCTTTGTAAGATTATTATGTAATATATTTTAACTATTATCTATCTATATGTATAAAAATATACTGCTAGCATAATCACAGGTAACGAATTTAACACACAGTTTGAGACATATAAGAGGTAGGATTTTAAACGGGCTACGAAATGTACGGATTCAGCTAATATAGGATAAATGTATTGTTTTGAATATTGGTGTATAAACATAATTTATAAATTTTGGTTGTATTCTCATCTTATAAAACTATTCATTAGATGGTATAAGTATTTAAATCCAAAAACATTTCTTCATTTTTGCAAAACCAGAAGATTAACATGAACGATAAGTATAAAAGTTAGACTCCTTTCTACAAATTCTATATAGAAGGATGAAAATATTCATAAGTCATTGTTTAAATTGTTGTAATCAAATCATTTAAATTAAGGCTTATGCAATAAATGTAATTTAAATAAAAGAATCACATAGTCTAAGACAATGAAAAACAATAATCCTAGTTGTGTTCGACACAATGTCTTGGATAGTTCGCAAGTCAAGAAATCCTTTCATAAATAAATTGTAACAAGGGGAAAATAAAACGCAACATTAATGATTTGGTAATAACGGCCATCAACGAGAATTTTTTCCTATAGGTTTTTGGAACGATCAGTTTGGAAAATTTATTAAAAACTCGTCAACACAACATTAACAGAAGCGGCAACCATTTCGTCGCAGTTAACACCTATTGATTAGAGTTATTTTTTCGCGTTTCGAACAACAGCCGACGACGAACAGCCCTTTAAAGGCACTGACAAAAATTATTTATTTTCATTAGTGAATATTTTTATTACTCTCTCGAGTTCTCTACGCTTACCGATTTATCAGTATCAAAATTTGTACTTCAATGACGATGATGATGGTGATAGATCTATAACGCAAATAAAGACGCACGCAGTTGAAAACTAACAATGCACCACAGCACTACAGTTACTGTGGATAAACCACAGATATCAATATTATACTATAGATAAAGTATTCGCGACGTTGACCCACAGATATTTAAAACCATTGATTATATACAAAGATATATCTGTGATTATATATGAATATATAATCAATGATCGCAGATAAAACTAGTTAACTAGTTCATTTAATATCTCTGTGAAAATGATAAAACGGGATGGGGTTAGTTGTTTGATAAAACTATGATAAAACCACAGAATAAAGATGATGTTCATGGATAAAATGAAATACGAAAGGATCACAAGAGCAACGCAAGGTATTTTTTGGAGTTGGTTATCACGATTTTCTTATCATCGTAAGTTTGTTATCATCTTAGATAATATCACAGACTTCTTTACCAAATATTCAATGTTATTAAAAATACTTTTCAAAAGTATTTCAAATAGGTATTTAAAAAATATTTATTTAATACCTTTGCTAATATGTAAATACAAATACATATATATTCAAAAAATATTTTAAATACTTTTAAAAACATTTTTTTAAGTTATGTTATTAGATTTTTAATTAATGAAATATTACGACAAAATTACATTAATATCTAGTGAGTAGTAACTAGTGACTGACTTAATAAATTAATTTGGTATATATCTACTTTATGGGACACCCAAAATTTCGGATTTTTTCTTATGTCAACTTATATATTTTTTAACGCTGAAAACGATAGTGCAAATGAAAATTAGCGCAAACGATTATTTTGAAAGTAACAGCCTGTTACTGAAGTTTGATAGTTTTGATTAAATCATCTATTTTTTCTATTATTTACTTTAGTAATGTCGTGGTGCAATTGGTAGCGTGGGACCACTGTTAAAATGAGAATTTTATATTTTTAAATACAAAATATAATAATAAGTAGGCATTTAAAATACTTTTGTCAAAAAGTATTTAAATATTTAACAAGTATGCAAATATACAATATTATTATATTCTATGTCTATACCAAGGACTAAAATACATTTTTATCTTAATTCGTGATCTACAGTGTAGAATCTACACTAACCACGATTAAAGATATAATTATATCTTTAATTATAAATATAATTATTTTATATACGATTTGTAGTATTTGGCCAAAATAGCGAAAAAATAACCGCGAATGTAAAAATTGCGAATTAATAATGGCGGAAATAAAAATAGCGAATTTTAAAAAGGAGCGAAAATATACGATTTAGTAAAAATAATTTTGAAAAAACAATTAGATGTTTTTTTTCTATTTTTATTGATTCATACAATATATACAATTTAGTATAAAAAACATAGGAAGATTTACAAATCCAATCCGTCGGTCATTGACCCCAATTGAACAGTCCAAGTAACATAATTTTCTCCGTTAGTCGCGCTGTTTTCAACAATATCATTCAGTAGCAATGGCGTACATTCAATCTTTCTCTGGGAGGGGGGTTTAACAAAAATAATTGTTATCTTTTTTTTTTTTTTTGTTGCACAGATAAATAAGATAAATAACTGCTATAAATAGATATTATTTTATATAACTTTTTTACCAATTTACAGTTTACTTTTACATTACAGTAAATTAATAGCTATTGGAATATAAAAACAACATAGTTAACAAAACTATTCAAACACCTATCAATATAATTATTTAATTATCATAATATTTGTATAGTTGTATATTTTAAGTTCTAATCGTAATAATGAAACTACGAATATATTACACGTCATCAATAATAAAACAATTTTTTTTTTTGCCTGGGGGGGGGGGTTGAACCCGGACCCCCTCCTCTCCGTATGTAAATCACTGTTCAGTATTATCATCCATCGAAAACAGCGAAACTAGCGGAGAAAATTATCGTACTTGGACTCTTCATGGGGGCAATGACCGACAGATTAGCTTCAGTTTTGATAGCTAACGCCGCCTCTATCTTACTTTATGTAGGGGACCACCACAGGAGGTTATAAGTTATAAAACTTTACCAAAATAACCAAGATAACCTCAAAAAGTAAAAAATCGGGGAAAAATAGACGATACGATTTTGACCAAAATGAATCGATTCATCAAAAGATCAGACCATCCAAATTGATTCAAAAAAATCGATTTCTTTTTGCCCATATACTCATACTAATATAAGGTCTATGTATGTTATACATAACTCAAACCTATAGGAGGGGAAACTGTAAAATATTTACATGGATTCTTATGGCCGCCCCAAAAAAACAAAAGGTCCGACATTTTGAAATTTTTACAGATAACCATACTAGTAGGAAATTCACATTATTCTGAGATTTGGCCATACTGTTAATGATTAATTTATATCAATAATAATGAAACGTGTCACTGATAATATGATATTCAATGAAATAAAACCTATTGTAAAGTTAAATAAGCACAATTTTTTGATTATTTTTAATTTAACTCCTACCACGAACTTCACGAACAAAACGGCTCAATATTTTAATGAATGTTTAAAACTCTCAACAATAAAGAAAGAATGTACAGTATATAAGTGTTTATTTTATTTAATAATTCGAATACGAATTAAAAAATAACAATAAATAATACTTAAAACTATTTACACAATACTAGATAATTCAACCACCATAGTTGTTGGTGAAGATGCCGTATTCAAATTTTGTTCAAAGATAGTATCTAAAATTATACTATACATAATTAAATTTAAAAAATAATTATAAAATTTGTGACTACATCTGGTTTTTGTCAGTCGACTATACTAAGAAATGTTACAGATATTATGTTATAAGTTTAAATCTAGTACTAAATTAAATACTGTGTTTTATTATAAAGATTAAGGTAAATATTAACTATACTTCTGTTATTATCTGTCAGCCAAATTGTATAATATTCAATTTTTTTAAATTAATTAATTGTTACTAAATTAATTCATGTAAAATTATTTAATTATTAATTACTATTGCCACTATTTTATTGTATTCATTTATATTATTATTATTACCTTAAAATCTTGTTAAAACATATTCTTATATTGAAATTTATACTTACCGTACTATTATTACCAAAGGATACCCACCGGTTTATAATATAAAATATTAAAATATACCTAATCGGGAATAGTAATACATTTAATAGTAATTTATAGTAATTATTCTATAACTTACTTTCAAATAAATTTGGTACAGCATGAGGATAAAGCCTATTCTTTTGAAGGTTGCTAAACATATTATTCTCAAAATTAAGTGAATACAACTTATATCTTTTCGCAATATCACTAGTGTCTGTGGTTGGTAAAGAAACTGGAAAACATTTTTTAATCCACAGACTACACCTTAAAAATCACAAAATAATACATTATTATAAAAGTAATGATTAGAGCAAATATTTCTTACTTTATAAGATCTTTAGGGAAATTAAAAAAAGATTTCTGATTTCCCACAGCATTCTTGTTGTACACAGAATGGCACTTGTTCAGTGTACATTTAATACCACCAGTGGAACTTGTCATTTTGAAAATAAGAATTTAAAAAAAATTTTCAAAGTACAAACAATTTTCAGTAACGTTAAACAGTTGTGAAAAAATTCAATAAAAACTGAGAAAAATTGGTATCAAATAGAAAACACATAAGCAGAAAAAAAATTGCAGTCTGGGGGACTTTAGATGTCAGTTATATACTTTTATTTTTATTAGGTTATAAAATTCTCTTCGTTCATGGATTAAATGAGATTAATTCCATGACATTTTGGGAGTGGGGCACAGTGCTAACAACCCTACCTTGTAAAGTCACATCCCTGATGTGTTAGAAATAATCGATCTGCTAATAGAAAAAGTACGAATACCACCAAAAATTTTATGCCAGTATGGCTAAATCTCGTAGAATGATGGGAATTTTCTACTAGTACGGTTACTTATGCAAATTTCAAAATGTTGAGAGTTTCCCTTATGGTTGTTCTTTGGTATTATCATTGATTATAGATAGTACTATCTATAATCAATGGTATTGTGGCGGTGAACTGCCACATATCTCCCACCAGGTCGAGTGACAGACGCGGTTGAGACGGTTGGCAACACCTTAGCAGGCGACGCCGGCTGAACTCCGTGCCGGGCGAACGACAGCACTTCTCTCTCTCTTGCGATCCAACTCGTCGACAACGCACGCGCGTATATTTTGTCTTGTCGATAGTACTCATTGCAAGTACTTAATGTTTTTTTGTTCAATAAATAATTAAATACCTTTTAACTATTCGTAACTGTGTTTTCTCTTACGTTAAAAGGTAACCCAAAAATAACTGGTCGTGTCGTCGCGCGTGGCACTTCGCGCACTATCGATTAAAACCACGCGGCGACTCGCCATAGTATTATATTAGAATTAGAACTGATAACAGTCACCAAATAAATGAGTTGGGGGCAGTGGTCCGAAAAATGATAAGGACTGGAATCGAAAAACGGCGGCATAAAATGTGTTGCCAACATAAGATTTCTAAAAATTATATTATAAAATTATTTTTTTGTTATTTATACTGTTGCATTTGAATGATAATTATTATATTTTTCGATAATAATTATATTCAATTTAAACTATACTACGGCTTACATTTTATGACCAACCAATCCCTGTGTATTTAGCATAGACATATAATGACACAGATTTATAATATTATAGTGCATATTTTAGTGCCTAATTTAATACCTGAAATTTCCTATTTGAAGATGAAATTAATTTCAATTAATTTATTGAAATTTAAATAATGTAAATAATGTAAATAATTAAGGATTTTTTTTTCTACATGAGTTTTAATACCTATTTATTTATATGTTAATTTTTAATTATTGTGTTAATTAGTTACATATAAAATAAACAGGTATCAATTATATGAAATGATTTATAATAATATATATAAATAATAAATTTTTAAATACTTATTTTATACTATTTACATACTAGTACATAGAAAATTAAAAAATGTATGAAACAACATATATATTTTAAGAAAGGTTTACATAAAATTAAATATTAAGCTAGATATTTATAAGCATACATGATGTATTACACAGATTTATAACATGGAAGAATTGCGAGAACAAAAAAGCATTATCCTTCTTTAATTACATTGGTTACTAAAATAATACAAGTCAAAGTTTTAACCCGAAAACATATCCATGATTTAATGTTATACATAATTATATGTTACCATAGTTTAAAATTTGGTCCATTTTTGTAGAAAATAAATATAAATAAAATAAAAAGAAAAAGTAATCAAAGTAAAATAAAATAAATAAAAAGTAAATGTAATCAAAACTTTTGTTGAAAACAGTATAACTTATTAGTATTTTTCCCGCTTTGAAAATCGGTGGACATTGTATAACTTTTATCAATATAAAGTATATAATTGGAATAGGTAATTTTTGATTTAGTCAGTTGATTCTGCTTTTTCAAATTTCAGATCTTATCGTTTCTTAGGTCCTTATCATTTTTCGGACAACTGCCAAACACTCAAATAAAAGTAGTTCACACTAGAGATGGGAATTATGGTTCATCTAAGTGATCCGATTTTTTCAGATCAGATCATCAAGAAGATCCGGATAAAAGACCCGTTCGCGATCTGATAGGATGTTTTGAGCCTATGCCCAAAACTGAATCAGAACCATTGAACTGAATATTTAGTTCAATGATTAAACGGGTCATTTGAATGATCCAGTTCTTTTATATCGGGTCGTTTAAAAGATCCGGTAAAAAGACCCGTTCGGATATTCGGTTCAATACGGTACATACGTAGAAAGGGGCGTAATTAGGAGGGATTAGGAGTATGGATCCCCCAAAACTTTATTTATTAAGAAGTAATTTTTTGTTATTTATTATATTGTGATAATATAATTATTATCATTATTATCATTAATGATTAAAATTATTAGAAAATTTGTTCTGGTGGGGTGGGGGGGAGTTACTGTATGAGGTGTACAGATTTTGCTAAAACCTATAATTTCCCCCCCCCCCCAAACCAAATTCCTAATTACGCCACTGCATAGAGATGGGAAAAACGGGTCAGGGATCATATCAATGACCCGTTCGTCAGCAAACGACACATTAAAACACCGTAGTATTATTAAAATAAAACCGATAATAAATGTTACGAAAATACGCATAAAAATACCCAATATCTAGAATTCATTCAGTGATACCCACTGAACCAACAAAAAAATATTTGACGAACGACCGGGACGGGTTTTAGTGATCCGGATCTTTTGGTTTATATCGATGACTCGTATGTTCGCGAACGACACATCACTAGTGCACACTAGTACCAACTACTATATTGATGTATTGAGAGTTCCAAGTCACCTAAGTCGTCAGTCACTATTTATTTTTGAAATTGTCGCAGTGACTAACAGCGACACTGTTGTCGCGGTGTCAAAGTAACGGCGACGTGATTTAACACTCATCACTAATACTGATGCACCAGCTGCAACCATGTACGAACTATGGGAGTTAAAACCATAGAATGTATGATTTAATGAGAAGTGTTACATGGTCCGATAAAGGACCATATCTCTATACTTTTCATTTGGATGACAAATATAGCCATGATAATTTATGTGTGTTTCGAAAATTTGATTATTTTCAAATTCATTATGTTGTGGTAAACTTAAATATAATTTTGAACTGCATCTGCTACTATATTTATTACCTTAATAAGGTCTGAACTGAAGTATTGCAATAAATTGGCATGTTCTAGAGGAATACAATTTCCAGTATTAAAAGTTTTTACATACTTTTACTCAGACAACCAATTTTTCCAATTTTTTGTTAACTGATTGTAACACTTCAAAAAATAATTCCAAATGAACTTGACTTATTTTGTACAGTTTAATGTGATTTAAATTATCTGTAAATAGGTATTAATTTATTGAATAAATGTATCAATGAATCTAAACAAACTAGTAATCCAGTGAACACATTTTCCTATTAAATTCCAAGACCGGTAAAAATTCATTATTTTCTTTTATTTTCAATTTTTTTTTACATATTGTAAACATTTTAGTAAGATTAGATAAAAAAATAAAAGTTTTCATTAATGACATAAGAACATGATTTTAAAATATCAAATATACAATTAAGTATTTCAATAAAATTGACCGTAGGATTTACATAAAAAAATTCGATTATGTTTAAATTGTGCTCATAAAATTTTAAAGCACTATGTGATTCAATTAGTAATTCATTAGATAATTAAACCTTCAAATTTTGCTTGAAAAAAAAAATGTGTTGTTTTCTCAATTTATTTGCCAGTTGATATCCATATTTTTCCTATAATAGACATAAAAGTTTGAAAAAATCAAATTAAATGTAATAATTTTTAAATTTTAAAATTATTTTTACACCAAATGCATTCCATGTAAGCTGGCTCATAAGCGCCACCAGGAATTCTGTCAGGAGTGCATTATGCATAGTACATATGCTGATATTTAAATAATGCTTAAATTATTTAAGTTAAGTACATGGGAATATTATTTAAAATAGCATGACAGTACAAAAGTTTTTTATTTTATTTTGAAAGCTACAAACTAATGCAGGCCTAACTAATACAAACTAATGGGAATCGCTGCTCTATCCTACATTTTTAAATGTTATTTTTTTTTTAAAATCATGTGGTACAAGTGCATCCTCTGTGACACCCATATATGTACTGGATTTACAAAAATAGGAGTATCATAATTTTCATAGCCAGAAATTCTATAGAAAAAGCAGTTTGTATTGTTAACACACCAATATAACCTAACAGCTATTCTATAGTAACATTGCTGTTAAAAATAAAACTTAATACATGTATACTAGTCAGTGGCGTATCCAGGGGTGGGGTTAGGGGGTTATAACTCCCCCTCGAAAATATTTAATGTATGTATATTGTCTATTGATTATAATAAAAACACACAAAATTAAAAAAAAATTGAATGTTACATTTTTTATAACCCCTACCTAAAAAAAATTCTGGATACACCACTGATACTAGTAACTTTTAAAGCATATAAAACTTGTTTAGTAAGTTCAGTCTTTTGCATGCTATCTAAATTAGAAGCTAAAAACTATCCAATTGGAAGTTTCCATTCTTAATTTATAGAAACGAACATAAAAACCAAACAATATTTAGCTAAAACTAAGATATCATTATATAAGCCATTTTCAATATCTACTCGATCATAGTACTTAGTTTAATCCACTGAACTCCAGTTTTTGTTGTATGAACATTTCATCAAGCATAAGACTACAATAAATATAATGTTTAGAATCATTCAATTTTAATGTTAGTGATTTTAATGCTTCATTAGTAAAGCTAGGCTCAGCAACTACATTTGATTACCACTTTCCTAAGGGACAAGGATGTGGAACATCAATTGAATTGAATTGTTTTTTTTTTAAATATTGAAAAGCTTTATGGGGAAAAAAATTTAAAGATAGTGTTAATTGCTTAATAGGTGGACTACATTTTTAGACACCTTTCTTCCAAATTTTTTTTTTATCACTTAGTAATTAAATCATTATGTTTACCAAATGATTCTTATCAGTATCCTCTTTAAAGATTATTATTTTTGAGTTTGTTAATAATTTCAGACATAGCAGCTTTTTGCTTATTTTTACGCCGGATAAATTGTTGTAAGCCTTTTAATTTTTTGTTTTTTATTCCTGTTTCATTTGCCAATTTATGAACTTTTATGAATTTTAAGTATGAATGCTTTGGTGTGTCATTAGGAGACACAGAAGCAACATCCAAAAAAGAAGATTTGAATTTTTTCTACAATAAAATAAAATGAAATAATACATAATCATTAAACTAAAAAAAATATTATAAAATTATTACTTACTTTAACTGTAGATGTACAAAGACTAAAGGTTTTTGATGATGTACTAGCCATAGTTTGATCTAAATCAGTTAACGGTTCAAATTTTTCAGGTAGCTCACTAATATTAGGCATCTAAGAAATAAATTAACATCTTTAATAATAAATCTATAACAATCAATATTATAAATGACGCCCTATTTTGTATTAGTTAATATATATCAGTGGTTTTAAACCTTTTTTACAATGAGACACACTTCATCTCCAAAAAAATTTTTTCTGCACACCAATCCATATATTATGTGAACCATATTTTAAATATATGTGTGTAAATGTGTAGGCGTATATGTGTGTGTGTGTGTATGCGTATACACTATTTACAGTCTACTCATTAGAGGGTAATTTATTGCGAAATATATTAATACAATCGATCGATAGAGACAACTGTGACAAGCGTACTTACAATAAATAATATTATATGTATCTACGATTAATTCGATCAGTTTTCATCGAATATCAATAATAAGCTGGTAAACATACTTTTATAAAACAATTTATAGATTTATTGCAGCACACCAATTAGGAACCACTGTTATCAATGTTATACTAATTACTTAATTTTTTTTCTGAAACTAAATAAAGAAAAAAGCAATTATTATGTTATTACTTACATTAACTGTAGATGTACAAAGACCAAAGGTTTTTGGTAATGTACTGGTCATGGTTTGACCTAAATTAGCTAATGGTACAAATCCTTTAGGTGGCTCACTGGTTTCTGATGTACTTGTAAGTGGAATAATTTTAGGAGGATCATAACTAAAATTTGTCTAGAAAACATTTCTCATTTTAAATACATTAAAAACATTGTATATTAAATGTAATTTAATTATTTTAACTAAATTACTTTTAATTTGCAGTTTAGAGGTACTGCTTCCATCTTCAGGTAGCGATAGTATTTTTTTTTAATTCAGGATATTCAGTCTTTCCCTATAATTTCAGTTATAGTAAATATTTCAGTATAAAAAATAAAAACATCATATTTGTAACTATTTTTTTATAAATTAATAAAATGTATTTAAACTTAAAACCTTTCACTCTTATTGTTGGTAAAGCATGTTTTTGTAGTTTATTTTTATTGTGAACAATGAATGACTCTGGTACAAAATGAAGAGATCAAATAAAACTGCTCTAAATTATTTCGTCCACTGATAAATTATGCTCAGGATAAAATGTATTTTTCAGAAGGAAATCTAAAGTAACAATATATGTGGTTTGTATTATAAATTGCGGTGTAATAAAAATCAAATATTGCTGCATAGCACAACTCACTTGTGAAAAATATTTTCAGATTTAGATATAGTAGTTTTACTTTTGCTACAAATAAAACTAGGTATTTTATACATTAATTAATTATTATTAAATGGTTTTTACTTTTGCAATAAACATATAGCAATAACTAGTAACTCGGTAAATATTAAATAATTGATGCAAATTTAAAAAGTAGTCAGTTGGAAAAAAAATAACAATATTATTGGTTATTATCATGTTTTTAATATTTAAACACTGCTATCTAGTGGTATATAGCACAACAATCGGACCAAGTATGAAAGTCAATGATCTCTATAGTTTGGCATCAGCGTGATAATACAGTTTAAATTGATAACGTCCTCTTGATATGTTATTCGACGGTTGAACACACAAAATTAATAATTTTCAATGGAACCGTGTCTTCTTATGGAAATCTGGAGATCAGAATCATTAGTACCACGATGATAATTTTGTCTTCACACTTGCACTGTAAGCTTGTCTAAAGCGCAATTTCTACTTGTCAAATTTTATACCTGAGGCTGCGTCCGTGTTACTCGAATCTTACTATCACTCATACGAATTTTGATGTTATTGTATACATTATCAGTGATATTCAGTATGCCAAACGTAGCAGATCCGGTTATGATCAATGAAGATCAAATGAGCTATAAAAACTTTTTAAGAAAGAGTGATGGGCATTTTAACTACCTTTTAAGTAAAGTGGAAAAACATACTTAAAAACAAACTCCATTTTTACGTAAGTCAATACAGGCTAAAACTAAATTAGAAATCATACTAAGATTTCTGGCAACAGGTTAACGATTTTTGCCTGATTTTTGGAGAGAATGGGACCTTAGTTTAAAATTAAAGTTTACGAAATAAATATTTCATAACGTTTTTACACTGTGATTAACAACAGCGCCAGTGTTATCAACGATCATACAAGATTTTATACGTTATCAGTTATAAATAGCGGGAAAGACGAATGATGGATTTCCCTAGGGAAATTATTATTGTTTGTAATTGACATGAACTGTTTTTTGTCAAATTTCAATTCAAAGTTTTAGCAATGTTCGCCGAATGTGATTTGTCGAACTCACGGGTTTGGAGGTAAAATTCGTATTAGTTGAAACAAAAAGCAGAAGATGTGTGGCAGAACTGCATGGTAAGTTTGTCGACTGACCACTTAAGTTCTTCGTATGGATTAAAAATTGTTAGGCCGTTATGAAATATTGTTTGAGATTAATAGGTACCTCAAATTCATCACTTAGCTTATATATAATCTGTTTCATTCACTGAAATATAATTAATTACATAATAATGATTTATATTAATAATTATATATAATGAATTATAGAACAACCTTGTATAAAATATTTAAATGTTTTTTAAAATCCTATGTTGTAAAGTGTGTAACTAATATCATTGATTATGTATAGTGTAGGTACATAGGCGTGTCTAAAATTTTTTCGCAAGTATGGCCAATCAAATTTTTTATTTAGGATACGAAAACAAAGTGTAACTTCTACACAATACACTACTTCGAGAACGTACATGTTTAGTAATTTTAGCTACTATAGTAGCTATAGCTAGTAAATAATATACTAATTTTCTTAAAAAAAAAAAACTATAATATAACACACAATTACCCAGGTACGAAGAGCTATGGATATTAGATAATAAATATTATTGATTAATTTTTGTCACAGACATATTATATAAATATTATTTTATGTGAAAATATTTATTATTTAGTTCGGTTTTATTTAATCATTCTTTTTACTTTTTAGTAATTATTTTTAATGATTTAACCATACATTTAAAACGGAACTGAATTTTGCAGGTCTGGCCATAACTGTAAACATGCTTATGTGTAGGTGTATATAATCAATGTTAATACTTACATAATATAATAAATACTAATAGTTACATCACATAGTTCATCTGAAAATATTTAAAGTATCTATTCTCTATATTTTTACTAACATGCCTCAATGATTGGATTATTTGTCAAATAATAATTTCCAAATTTTTATTTGAAAAAATAGGTTCATTTTTTTATGGTTTGAATTATTTTATCATTATTGTTAAAACTTTATATCCTTACAACACTAACCTGTATACTTTCATGTTTTGCTGTGTACCAAAAACTACATTGCAAAATTATTTTTTGAAATTGAATGTGTCTTATAGAGAAAAAATTATCTTTAGTTATTTTTCTTGTTTTAACCACCAGGAGCAGAATTAGGGGAAAGAAGGGATTCATTCCTGGGCGTAAACTTGTAGAATATGTTATTTTTTGTAGTATATAATCAATATATAGTTATAGTGACTACAAGTTTGATATTTTTAACTGTGTTACTGATGTGTTTAAAACTTAAAAAGTATGATTGTATGCTAATTATTAGAAAAAAATTGTAGTAGGGAAGAGTATTTGATTCGTGTTCTATGATAGGCTGTAATTTTAACATTTTCCCTGAGCGTAAAATTCCTAGTTTCACCTATAACAAAACTTACTATTCTATAATTAACTAAAATATTATGATTATTAATACACTCCATCGATTTTATATATTTATATTTTATTAGCAACTTGAAAAGAGAAACCTACTGCAAAGCATTAAGCTATAAAGATCGTAATGACAAATTATATCGACAACCAGAATGGTACGAGTTGGAAAACGGAGGCCATGAATTTAAAGCATCAAACAACATAGCCCCAACTGATGTAACTCCTGTTCTTGTATCTGGCGAAGAATTTGTTGATTATCCATCGAGATTACTGACTCCTATGGTATGGGGTATGATACCCCCTTGGCATAAGGTATATTTATAAAAGAATAATATTTATTAATAAACAGAATATCATTGTGGATAGTTAATTTAATTTCTCTGAAAGTGTCATTAAGATTATATTTATTTATGATTTTTAGGGAAACTTAAATGATCACGGATTGAGCACAAATAATTGTCGAATAGAAAATTTGACTACTTCCAAACTTTATAGTGGACCATTAAATGATGGAAGGAGATGTATTGTAGTTTGTGAAGGTTTCTATGAATGGAAGACTACAGAAGGCCCAGGAAAGAAAAAGCCTTACTTTATACATACACCTCAAGAAAAAGAGGTTTGTTTTTAATCATCTTATAGCTTTTATAACTCTAAGACAATTAACAATTACTTAACATTTTGTCTTAATGTTAGATTGTCAGATTAATATAATATACATTTATTTGTAAAATTTAATTAGGTGAATCTCAAAAAGAATAATGATCTGTTTACTTTTATTTTAACTAAAATATATTAATTCAATTATATGTATTTGTAATTTTAGACTCTTTAATTCTTAGACATTGATGTTTTTTATAATTTATAATATTTATTACAAGTATAACTTAAAAGTGTTTCTAATATAGAACTTAACAACTTTTGTTTGGTATTAATTAATTAATTGTTCTAATAAAAATGATTTACATACAGGTTTCAGTTTATGATAAAAATGCTTGGGAATCAGGTCATTGGTCTGGGAAATCTGGTTGGTGTGGACCATCTCTACTTAAATTAGCTGGAATTTATAATAAATGGAAGTCACTTACAGGTGACATTTATAGCTATTCAGTTATCACAATGGAATCGAGTAAAACGTTTTCCCAACTTCATCATAGGGTACCTGCAGTCTTAGAGAATGAACAAATGATAGATGTAAGGTTGGCTTAAGAAATTCAATGTATAAATGTATACTTTTAATTTTATGAAATAATGGTATTGTATAAACATTTTTATATTAACTTTACTAATTTTTACTATTTACTTAGGATTGGTTAGATAGCAGAAGGATATCTTCAAGTCGAGCCATATCTATACTTCATCCTACTGACAATTTGACATGGTATGAAGTATCAAGCATAGTTAATAATTCACGTAACAAAAGCGAAAATTGCAACAAGCCTATATCAAAAATGTATGTATCTGCAATTCATAAACAATTTACACGATTGAAAAATATTTATAGTTTCTTATTAGAAAAAAAGTTTAATGGTAATACTTATTTTATATACCATAAAAATATAAATTTTAATTATTTTGACTTTTTAAAATCTTTGATTTTAACATAGAATGGATTATATATCACATTGAGTTTCAGATATTTAATTTATTTTTATTTTTGTAATTATTAATTCTAAGAATTTTTAATCAAGTTAATAATTGTATATTTTTATTATTTATTTATAGAGTAAGCAAAAGCAGTACTTTTATGACATCTTGGTTAACTGGAAAAAATAAAAATGATGATAGCAATGAAGAAAATTCAATGAGGAAAAAGCCAAAAATTTAATATTTTTCACTATAAAAATGTAAATATTTATAACAGTTAAAATAAGACATATTTGAACTAAAATAATTAAATTTATTGAATATAACAGTTATAACAACAATAAATAGTAAAATAATATGAATATTTTATTCAGTATTAAATTAATATATCAAATTACTAATGTATATGTTCCATCAAAGAACTTTAATAATGATTCGTATACGCTTCCACCAAACAAGAAACTGAACTAATATCTGAATTGTGGTTTATTTTTAAGCTTATTAAATCACTTCATAGTTGTATTTTAATTTTCACCATATAGCCATGCATCGCTGGCTCTTGACCACGACACTACTTCTTTCTCTGAAAACCACAGAGAAATTTCTTTGTTGGCTGATTCTACAGCATCGGAACCATGAATAATATTACTATTAAAATAGAAAATGTAAAAATGAATAAAAATTAAAACAATAGGCATTAATAGTCAAAATAAATCAGTGAAAATATTTACCGGCCAACCTGGATACATAGATCACCTCTAATTGTACCTGGGTTAGAGTTTTTTGGGTCAGTTGCACCAAGAATAAATCGTCCAGTTTTAACAACATCCAAACCTTCCCATACCTAATAATATTAACATTTTAGTAGTTAGATAATTGAACTAATAATTATATATGCAATAACCATTGGGACTACTGGTCCAGAAGACATGTATTTGACAAGGCCGGGGAAGAATGGTCTGCTTGATAGATCAGCATAGTGTTTTGATAATAATTCTTCGGATGCCTAAAATAAGTCACCAGTATTATTTGAATTTTTTGTTTACTATAATTTATTTAATATATTAAAAGTAAATTTGAATTTTTAATTGTTTTAAAAAATGAAATACAATATTTAAGTTATTTATAACAGCTTATGATGATTCTAGCTATTTATATTTTTTTTTTATATTTATGTTAATAATGTAAATATTTTGGGAAGAAACTTGTTATACAATTAGATTTACAAGTATATGTTGAATCTCAAAGAAATATAAAATAAGTCTTAAAATGTAATATATATGTGATAAATATATTATTATTTGTTATAAAAATGTAAGCCAAACTCACAATCTTAATCTCTTTAGTAGAAAATGTCACTAAAACACAGAAATAGCTTTGCTTTCACTTGCTGGTAGCATAAGCGCAAGAGGATCTTTAGTACCCCTGATTTTATTTTAGGTTAATCTATAATAATTACAGTGAAATACTATCAATTTTATTTTCAAGAATTTTAGCACCCCTAATAATTAGGCTCTAATTGTGTCTATATTTAGTAATAATGTATGGTCAAATTAATGGCCATAAAATAGTACAATTGGATGTATATTTAGAAGATTTAATGCTTATTGTATTATACTTGTTATTAAATAATCAAGAAAACGGTTTAATGACTAAATGCACATACCCACATGAACTTCATGGCGACTAATTTGAACCCTTTTTCTTCAAAGCGCTTGATTATCTTGCCGACTAGGCCACGTTGAACACCGTCTGGCTTGACCATAATGAACGTACGTTCAGAATAAGCATCTGCAGCCATTTTTCAGCTAAATAGTATACACAACAAGCGCTGAACAAACAAAAGCAACAATTAAATGTATATTATAAAGTTGTGCAAAGTTGTTATCATAAATTTCAAGTGTATCAGCTGATAGTCATATCGCGGAAAGCATTAACTCAAATAGTTTAATCGTGATTTGCGTGTACTAAATTTTTAATGGCATTGGAAAACAAAAAAATTAAGAGTACGTACAAATGATTAATTCCCAATTAATCCTTATAGAAACATTTATCTATATCAAACAGGACTATTAAAATGTAACCTAATCATTTTCTATAGCTGCTTCTTTCGTTACTCTATGAGTTTGAATAACACTGTATCGGCTAAAAAAAAATATTCAAACGGCCTGTAAAAGCAGAGGAACGGTATCACCATGATGTACGTGAACAAGCTCGAATGTGAACCTTTAGCATTTCATTAAGTCCGATTCACTAAATGGGAAATGGGACGGGATAATAGTTGTACAAGAAGCACAATCGACTAACTATATAACTATTTTTAGTTTTAAGTTCTTCAATAGATATTAATCGATAAAATGAGGATAAAATATTCGAACTTTCAACATTCATTAACGACAAAAGCAATACGAAACGGAGTAAGAAAATAATCCAACGCAATCGCGGTTCAACATTCATTTTGGACGTTGGTCGTATCAACTCACGAGCAGTGGGATCGGTGTGTCCAAACGAAAGTTTGACGAAATCCATTACGCCCGTTGTCGGGATAAAATCCAATCGTACGGGAACAACGACACTAGTAATGAGTAGGTTAAGTGTTTAATGGGTGGGAAGGAAAAAAAAAGCGTATACTCACTAGACTGCGACGAAAACTACTTCGGGAACGGATCGATAGGACAAAAGCTGGGCGGAAAGGTCGTTCACGCGTAAACGGTTAAATAATAAAGAGCGTTTGAGCGAATGACGCCGATGACTGAACCCTTGACGGCACGAGATAGTGACGGTAAGAAACACAGATATCTATATTATACTAGATGACGAACTCTCGATATCACTTGAAGCACGCATTGATTATGTTATCATTTGTCCGCCATGTTTTGGGTTGGAAAAATATTGTATCAACACTATTCCCCACATATCACAACATTAATTATATACTATTTAGTTACTAATATTTATTAAACATGCCTGTTTCTTGTGTTGCATACGTTTGTTCAAATCGCTTTAAAAGTAATTCCTCAATTCACTTTTTTCGGTACATATGAAGTATAGATAATATGATTTAAAAACACCTCAACATTTACATTTTTAATTGCAACGTATATTCTGTACATTCTCTGTATCTGTATATTCTCAATTAGCTGAAACACTCCAGCCTCTTTCGTGCACCGATCCCGAAAATGACACAATTATTGAAATTCAACAATTTCTATCAGCTTCGCTACCTATGTTGCTATCTGCAAAACCCATCTCTCCTGGTGAAATATAATTAAAAAATTACCTCCCGGCAAGGCACCTGGAAATTACCTCATTACAAATAAAATTCTAAAAAATCTGTCTCTCAAAACTTTATCATTGCTCACCCACATATATAATTCTATACTAAGATTGTCCCACTTCCCTAAAATCTGGAAATTTTCAGTCATTATATTTATACACAAACCAAATAAATCTAAACACTTATCTTCGTCATACCGTCCCATAAGTTTACTTCCAGTCCTTGGTAAACTTTTCGAAAAGGCCCTCCTGAAAAGAATCCCAGTCCCATCCTTCAAAACAACCATATCATACTGAATAATCAGTTTGGTTTTCGAAACAGGCACTCAACAATCCATCAAGTTCATCGTCTTACTGAAGAAATCTCAACTGCTCTCGAAAATAAAAAAAAACTGTTCTGGACTTTTTTTAGATATTGCTCAAGCATTCGATAAAGTCTGGCATAATGGCTTACTATACAAATTAAAACTTTTCATGCCAGCTCCCTACTATCTTATTATCAAATCTTACCTACAAAATCGTTCGTTTGTCGTACGACAGGGTAACGATATTTTATCTACTCACCCAATATATGCTAGAGTTCCACAGGGTAGTGATCTATCCCCTGATCTATATAATGTATTCACAGCAGACATCACTCAATCTAGTAACACCCTTCTAGCAACATACGCTGATGACACAGCTATTCTTTCCTCCAGTCCAAATCCTATCCTAACTTCAGTTGAACTCTAGGATCATGCTAATAAAATTGAAGAATGGGCCAAAAAAATAGAAAATAAAAATTAATACGGAAAAGTCTGTGCAAGTTACTTTCACGTTAAAACAATCTCCCTGTGAGTGAGTGCCTTCAATTAATTATGAACAACGCCCCCATCCCTGTCCAAACCAAAATCAAGTACTTAGGCATAATGCTTGATAAAAGACTAACCTGGGGCCCCCCACCTAAAAGAAAAAAAGAAAATCATCGAACAACAGACTTCACATCCTCCGACCACTCCTAAACTCCAAAAGAACACTCCAAAACAAACTTATTATATATAAGTGAATCATAAGACCAGTCTGGTTTTATGGAATAGCAATGTGGGGTCTAGCAAAGCCCTCGAACATCAGGCCAATTCAGGCTTTTCAATAAAGGCTAAGGTTAGTTTCCAAAGCTCCCTGGTACGTTTCAAACTCTACCTTGCACAACGACTTAAAAATAATAACTACTATTGAACTAGCCAAAACAATGTATAAACGTTTCCACCAAAATTTAAACACGCATAGCAATACATTAATATCAACCATGTCCTCCCTTACCCTCCCAAAAAAATGTTAGACTATGTTGCGTGCCGTCGTTCAATCGTAACGATGGTTACATTTCTTAGGATAATATTCCAAATAAAAATACTCAAATATAATTTAACTGTTTATTTAAGAATTCTTCTAAGTACAAAAATACTATCTAAAAATGATCTGGCGTGAAGGTGCTTGCGACTATACCTGTAAACCACATCTGAATATTGGTCTATTCGAGACTCCCTTATATACCCCGCTTCTCATAGTTGACCCGGACCTAGTGAATGCTAAATCACTCGTCCTATGCGATTCACCTTGGCATATAGATTGATGCCTTTCTATAATATTTTAATAATTATGTACTAATTGTCTTCTGTACCATATAATTAGTAAGGACCTACATCTCTGTAATATATCATACTGATGTCTTTCTGTAATATTTATTTTTAATGTCACACTTTGAAATGTAGCCACACGATTCATATATAACATGTGCTTGTGTTACCCTCTAATTAAATTAAAATTCCTTTCTATTCATACGAATATGATTATTATATTAATAATAATCATTTCCCGATTTCTATTATTTATGATCTACGTGGTCCCATCCATGTCTTATGAGTCGTAAGGACCTACATTTATGTATGTCCACAACAACTACATCATGTTGCTAAGTTAAAAACAGTTAAAAACGTCGTTTACTAACAAAACTAATATTGTTTTATAACCAGTAGAAATTTGTATAAATATACTTTTTAAATCTAATTTACTGCATCATTTTCTTTTTATAATTTTTTTCTCCTAATATATTTATAGGAATTACCCTTAAGACCAATTTTTAGTAAGTATACATCAAGGTATGGGTGTGATTACTTGGAAAACAAACCCTACTACAGTAAATCAGTACATAAACATATATTTTATATATTTTATTTAATATATATAATATATATAATAGTTAAAACCAAATATAGCAAGTATAGTGATTTGGTTTTGTGTATTTAAATAAGTCATTTTATTTATTGTATACTCATTGATTACGAGTATAATATTATCAATGTATATTATATACATTATATAAATAATCAATAGTGCAATTTTAAATTAATATTCTCAATTCTGTAATGAAATTTAATTTTGATTAAACATAATCAAAAATGTTTAATTTAATAATTTAGTGTGTTCAACTCTTTTATATAGTGTAAAGTAATGTTTTGCAACCGAAAACATGGCGGACGTATGATAATCTTGCGTCCCCGGGCTTCACTTTTCTCAATGGAAAACATCGGTAGTTCGTTATTTAGTATAATATAGATATCTGTGGTAAGAAATAGCAGTAGCAGTTATAATCAGTGCTCGATTTGTGGGGGGACGCAGGGGGACGGAGTATACCAACTGATTTTCAAAAATGTAAGCGTTCCCCTACTACTATTACCTACGTTATAATTATAAAGCTTAACAAGTATTGGGGATGATATTTTCATTAAAGTAAACAGAGTCCCTCTTCTTTAATTTTGCGAAGTTTAGCACTGGTTATAGTAGCACTGTTATTTTACAATAGCATGGATTGCTAAATTTTGTAGGTATTTTGTTTTTGATGTTGTCCTACCTTCCAACACTGTTTTATAGCTGCTATTATATTAGGAGTTAGAACACACATTATAATATTAAAAATATAGGGATCCCAGATTTATTTTTTAAAAATACGGGACATTTTAAATCATATCTATACTTGTGAATTACATTGGTATTAATTTGGAGAGGGGTAAGGAGACTTATGTTAACAATTATCATATTACAAAATTAAATATATGTTTATTATACAAATTTTTTGTAAATATTTGGTAGCTAAAATTACATTTGGCCTCCGTGTAAAATTTAATTTTCCTTGTAGTTACTCATAATATTTGATACCTAGTTGAAATAAATATAAATTATAATTAAAAACAAATAATTAGATGACTCCTATGATAAGTGTATTAAGGTGACTTTCCCATAATAAAAAAATCAAAAGAGATAGTTTTAATTTGTTTTCAGATTTTTTTATTTCTTATAATCGAATATTATTAATTATCATTTGATTTAGATATTAAAGTTTTGGAATAATTTAAAATTTAAAAAGCTAAATGACGTGAAAAAATTTAATTTTTAAAATAAGGTACATACGAGACGGATTATCCAAAATACGGGACAAAAGTGTTATTTTTAAATTTGCGTCGGGACACCGAACACTTCGTTCAAACATGGCACAATTCCCTAAAATACAGGACGTATTTGATCCCGAGAAAAATAGTAGTAGCATCTTAGTAGCTGGCAAAACACATAAATAAGTTTATTTTATATACCTATCTGTGACATATGATAATTGACCATGCACGTGTTATCGATATCATAAGCTCAGAAAATAGATATCAATGTATCAAATGACTATTGTTACAACCAATTGTTCTGTACATGCGCGCCCGAAGGGGGGGGCAAAGGGGTCATTGACCTTATTAGGAATTTTTGATACAAAACTATTGTTAATTTAGTATCACGCAGTATAGTATTATAACATAATTTTATAGAAATCCATTTATGAAGTTTAGTAAAATGTATTATATTTTAAGATAATCTAAAATGTATAATCTTGAACATATTTATTAGTTTACAATGTTTTCACATGACTGCATATCGCTTAAAATTATAAATTCTCCGAGTATCGATATCTACGGTATTTGATTTTGTTTTCATCTATTTTTAGATAGGTACAAGTTGTTTTGGCCCTTAGAATTTTAATCTTGCCCCAGGTATGTTGCGGCTGCGCTTGATTCGGTATAATATATATTATACTATTTAAAGTGCATGTTCCATAAAATGTTCATATATAAATAAATAAATATAAGAATATTTTAATATTTTATAAATGTAATATAATAACCCAATACATGAGGCAATGAAATATATAGAAATATGTAACAAAATAATAATGTTAAATACTATTTTATCATCCATAACATTACTGACAATTAAAGACATCTGCCAACAGTAGAATATTAGAAAATACTAATCAAAAGTTTAATAATGAAGTCAAATTGTGTATAAATGTAATTATAAAGTCTTACTATATTAATAAATATTTATTTATTGCATAAATTGTATTTATAGTAAATAATTATTATATATATTTAAATATAATTATATTTAATAATTTCCTGAAGACCTATATTTTATATAAATTATTATTAAGTTATTTAAGTTGAAGATAAAATAAAAAAAAATTGAATATCATATTTTAATGAATATTAATATGTTATTATTATTTTAGTTATAATTATTAACAAGGTTATAAAATTATAATTAAGGGGGTATGGCGGCAAATCCCCCTGCATGGGTTATATTTTTTCATTCAAATGCTACCCTTATTTATTTTTAAGTATGGTCTACTTGTTAGAAGCATAATTTTTATAATAACTCAACAATATAGATTATACTGATCAACTTGTTTTTATTGACACTTTACAATTGACTTACAAGATGAATATTACAAGTACACAAGTAGTACATTAAGTGTACAAAAATATGCTTAGCAGTTTAAAAATCACACACAATAATAGGGCAACAAACTTATTAAGAAGTTATATAAATTATAACATTACATAAAAAAAAATAATTATAATCATCGTTATCGCAAAGTAATTAATTTTTATTATGTTCTCAGTAGATAACACATTAAATAAATGGCACTTACTAATATTAGGTACATTTAAAGTGAACAATAAAAATAATAAATAGTATTTTTCTTTTATCAAACCGAAAATGAACAACAAATTCTAACATGTTAATATTCTAACTTATGTATGTAAACAGTAGCTGATGGCAAATAATGGGTTTTTTTTTACGTTTAATCTAATAATATTATTTTAAGTTATGATGATACATGGAAAATTAAGAGATCTAAAAGAAAATTGATTTATTAAACATTTTAATTAATATTATATAAGTACAACAGGTCAGTTTAATAATCTCCCACGTATCTACTTTATAAGTACCTAAAGTTTTAATAGGTCAGACAACATAAGTTAACTGGTAGCTGGCAATTACATATGCATGAATAACACACATAATTATATTCAGTAGAAGTCTATAATATAATAAAACAAAATATTGCCGTAGTTAAAAGTAAATACAAATTGCAATTAAAAAAATTATAATAGTTGGTTGTATACTTCCTTAAAACTAACATGTATACAAATAATATAATAATACATACATATATATAAAAATGTCAAATGCATTTTGGAAAAAAAAAAAATATTTACAACTAAATAAATATCACAGCCTTAAAAATATATATATATATATATATATATATATACTTTTCTTTTGTCTGCCCAAAGCTATCTTAAAGGCAATCAGTTTTTTTTTTTTTTTTTGGGATAATTTGTTTTTGATTTTTCTTTTTTTAAGTACATTAATTCAGAGGAATATAACGTCCCTCAATATTTCCACTTTGTTGCTGTCTTATGGGCAAACTATACAGTCATATACACAATAAAAATTGTAAGTTCACAATAACAAGAAGCTTACAAATAATATAAAAGATTTCTTTACAGTTATTTTATCAAATAATAATAAAATGTACAGTCGGGATAGAAAATGGCACAGCAGTGTATACAAATAAATAGTTTTAAAAATAAAATTATATAAATAAAACAATGTATATAATATATCAAAGAAACATAAAAAAAAAAAAATTTATGCTGGTTTTTTTTCTATTGTCCTAATAATTCTTAAAACGAGTCAACAGAACAAAACTTAAACGTCTACTAAAAGGTTCCTTTCAACAACGGCTAAAGAGTTGAGACCTCACCTCAGCTTGGCAGGGGTTTTGGTCATCAAACGGTTGTCTCGTTTCGTCTGAGTGGTTGAAGTTCTCTTTGCAACCGGTCAAAATCGTTATAGTACTCGTGGTCAGATTCGTCTTCCAGACTACGACCGTTGGTAGTAGGCGCAGGCGACTGTGGTTCGGCAGATACGCTGGACGTGCCAGTACTGTTGCCACTAGTGACAACTGAGGATATAGGATTCGTTTCGCCACCAGTCAAATGGTATTCTGGATTGTCCACGCTACTCACTTGGGCCGGCAAGAAGTCAGGTTGGAAGTTTTTGGTTGTTCCTAGGGGCCTTGGTAGGCTACCGTTGGCGTATTCCGCTGCAAACGTACAAGCATTTTTAATAAACGCGTCTACTACTTTATGCGATATATATATGAAATTATTGATTTGAAAAATATACCCGGTAAAAATATTTTTTTTATGGTTATAGAAACCAAGGGCTTTAAAACGTTTATGGTGGAGTTTAATAGTTTATATCGTAATTAACGGATTGATTTTAGTTTTGTTTAGAAGCTAGATGAATTATTATACTGTACACATTAACTATTTTCGCTTAGTTTTGGTATGTTTTATAAACAATTATAGAAGAAGTTTGTAGAACAATAAACAACTGCAGCATTAGAATAAAAAGTGGAAAAAAAAACTGAAATGTTAAAGTAATATAGAATCGTACAAATTTAACATTTTAAAACGATAAGGAAATAATTCTGTGCGTTAAAGGAACCAATGACCATTTGGAGCTTCGATGGATGACGGAGTAATAACGCAAAAAGTAATAAAAAATATATGCTGAGAAATTAATATTGAAAAAACATACTTGGAAACTAGCTATAAAAATTTGAGAAACTTACTAAGATTCACAGAATTAAGTAAAGACAAAACAGTAGTTTGTTAGGTAATAAAATAATTCATTATTTAAAATAAAGTAATTAACAAACATATGGCAAAAATTAGCGTCAAAAAATTTACATTAATAAATTAAATGCTATTAACTAAAATATTAATGTAATTACATTGTGATTGGCTATGTTTTTGAGTCAAAATAATTCAATTTTAACTTTCGTATTGATAGCGTACCTTCAGAATGTTGATGACCAATTAAATCGATGTAGTTGGCAGGTGTATGTCGGCGTTTGTGATCGGTTTCATCATTGGCCGGAGATGGCATTAAATAGTCGTCCTCGTCTAATGGCAAGTCCAGTTTGAGTGTGCCTACTTGAGCTTTGCTTCCGTTACTGAGATCATCGGATGTTTCACAATCTGTCGGATGAAAAACCGATAAAATTATGTTCTTTTTAATACAGTAAAACCTCGATAAGACAAAATCGCTTGGGACCATGATATTTTTCCGTGTTAACGGGGTTTTCGTCTTGACCGGGTTAGTTAATTGTATGTAATTTGAAACGGGACCAAAATAATGTGCCGTTATACCGAGGTTTCCGTCTTACCGAAGTTCCGTCTTATCGAGGTTTTACTATATCACCATTTACGCTTAGCGTTTGAAAATAAACTAAAACAATCATTACCTATTCTATGAATTTCACCGAATTTCCTGAGCTCGCGATCCCAATTGAGTCTATTGTGCATGGGAGGTCCTAGCATATCGGCGCCCGCCGTGCTACTCGATCCCAATCTCGACGGTCCAGGCATGCTACTGCTCATCTTTGGGTTCATATACTCATCAGCTTCCATTATGCTCATATCCGCACCTTCTGACGCAAGATTCGATAGTATTTCATTTTCATCCTGTAAAAAATAACACACGTGAAATACTTATACGCAAATTATTCAAATAATTAGATTATTAAATTTCGATGAAGTTGACAGTTTACCTGCGACGAGTAAGACGGCAACCTCATGTAACGATCGCCTGGTATGACAAGGTATCTTCCCGGATCGATGGCCATTTTAGCGAATTCATCGGCGAGTTCTTCGAAACTAGGTCGGCTGTCTTTTTCAATTAACCAACACTTGACCATTACCATGTAAACGTCAATGGTGCAAATAGGTGGCTGCGGTAAACGTTCTCCTTTCTCCAACAGACCCAGTACATCTTTCTTATCGACATTTTCGTACGGTTGCTTGCCGTAAGTCAGCAATTCCCAAACGGTAATACCTTTATAATTACAAAAACACATATGTTACCAAATATAACAATATTCGCCAAATTAACAGTGCACATTTCGTACATAGAAATCTATTACTTACCAAATGCCCATACGTCACTTTTGTGCGTGAACACTCTGTACTTGAGACATTCCGGTGCCAACCATTTCACAGGCATCTTTCCACCGTCAGCCGTGTATTCTAATTGATCGACGTCTAACAGTTTAGCCAAACCGAAATCTGTGATCTTCACGCAGTTAGTATTTTGCACGAGCACATTGCGTGCTGCCAGATCTCTGTGTACCAGTCGTTTTTCTTCCAAATATGCCATACCTAATTAAAACACATTGATTAAAACATACTTCTTCAAATTTATTCTTTATTTTAATTTCAATTAAATCGCTCACCTTTGGCTATTTGCGTGCACCATTTTAGGAACGTTTTTGAACCGATTTTGTCCTTGTTGTTACGTACATACTTTAGCAAACATCCGAGTGGCATGAGCTGGGTGACCAGCATCATTTCGGATGTCATACACACGGCCAATAGTTTTACCAGATTGTCATGTTCAACACTAGCCATTATATAAGCTTCATCTAAGAATTCTTTGCTAGTGTTCTCGTAACCACACGTGTCGTCTTTTTTGTGTAGCTTTTTGATTGCTACTGGAATTTTGATGTTCTCGCCTTCGACAACCCAAACGCCCTAAAAACCCGTTATTGTTTTATTAAAAGCATACCTTTACGAGTACCTACATTATAGGCATCACACAATACAACTATTTATAATACTAAATTATGTATCAATATAATTGATGAAATATAATACCTTATACACCACTCCAAAAGCTCCGTTTCCAAGTTCTGCACCAATTCGTAAGTCTACTTCTTTGACGATTCTCAATTTAGCTGTATTAGGTTTAACATTTGAAGGCCTAAGTGGTTCGTTATCTTCCATACCTGTAAGCACCATTGTCATTTTCACTGCAGTCTCTTTGGCTCGTGCGCGTCTTCTCCAGTGCCAAACAAGAATCATAAGTAAAACCATGACCAAAAAGGTGAACACTACAACTGCAGTCAGTATCAAAGGTATTTGCTCTGAATCACTACTAAAACAAAATAATAACGTATAAAAAAAAATTACAAATCTATGTCGAATACATGGATATGTTTCAATATTCATAGTAAACTTACAGTTTAGAAGCCATTCTGACGTCATCAGCGGAACAATAAGGGTCCGGGTCGTCCATCTTGTACACTTTGTACGGCGCGAAAGATGGGCAGATAGGACCGGAGCAATTGAACGCTGTACGGTTATCCGAAGGATTACCACTGAGCTAAAACGTTATAAGAGAATAAGTAATATGTAAGTGTAAACAATAGGCAACTTTCTGTGGACCACTAAAAGCAACCTAATGGTATTTACCTCGAATATTTTAAAATGTCGGCAAGCTTGGCATTGGTATGCATGTGGTCCGTAACATCCTCTACACAAAATATCGCACGGCATGCATTCTCGTTCCATTTCACCAGTTGATAATGTATTGGTTGTTGCATAATATTCGATAGGACAATCATCTACACACTGATCGCCACGTTTATAGCCTGCGCAGCGTTGGCATACCTGATCGTGAAACCCAAAACCAGTGCATCTTAGACATCGCGGATGGCATTTTCTGCATACAGCTTTACCAGCCAAAGCGCGTAGAGCAGCACCACCTTGTTCTAACGGTCCAACCCATTCATAATAATAACCGTTAGGACAAGTTTCATTTTTGTGCAAACATCTCTCCTAAAAGTAAATAAAATTTATATAAACTAAATTATATATTATATATATATATATATATGTTACTATACATGTTGATTCGTAGTTTAGAAATCAATTATTTAGAAAATATTGATAAATTAAGTAATGGTTATCAAATTATACTAAAATATTGTCTACTTTATACATATTTATACTTCATTTTCTTTTAATATTAAAATAACCTTAATACAGTAAAAAAAAAAAATACGAGCGATACATAGACAATGCATAATTATTTAAAATGTATTATTAAAATTGTATAGGTTTGCTTATAATGGACATTAAAAAAGTAAAAAAGGGGAAAAATAAATAAATAAGAAGCAAATACATACTACGGAAGCGTCAGCATTAAGAACAGCTTTATGACATGATCGACACCCATTAGGTCCAATTGTATTGTCCGGACCACTACAACCTCCAACGCAATTCGCATGACAAGACAAACATACACTGGGTCTGGATTGGCTAGCACTATATTTATTTACTGGACATTGAGATAAGCAATGTGTACCATCGAGAAGATTACGGCATTTTGTACAGTGTTCGGGACCAGGTCCGTGACAACCACCATCGCATTCCGGATGACACGCAGCGCAGGTTTGGTCACCAGCCTCATAAAGTCTGTATAATAAAAAAATGTTAGAACCTATTCAAACTTCACAGTTTTTTTTAAAATACTGAACTTACCCAGGTACATGATTACAGTTTGGTAGACACTGATTATCGTACTGGAAATTACTACAAGACAAACATTGATGTGGTCCAGGACCCCAGCAACCTTGATTTGAACACTCGGGATCGCAAATTTCATTTTCTGCTTCTATTAATTATTAATGATGCCGTGAATGAATGCTATTAAGATTAAATAAATTTAAAATGAACACTTACGGCATAAAGAATCGTTTTTGTTATTTTGTAAAAGTTTAGGATGTTCAGAAGATTTTTTTATTGATTCCCAGTCAATAGTCTGAGCGTAGCACAGTTTTTTATTTTCTAAAATTGCAACGCTACCAGAATGAATTTTCTTTAAAGAACGTAAGCCCAATGATGTTAACGACGTCTTAACAATATATAACGATGCAAAATATTCAGTTACGGTACGGCCACCAATGACTTCCAAATTTCTATTAACATATTATAATATAATTTATTATACTCGTATAACTCTTATATTAATAATAATAAATTTAAAATTTTACCGAAAATATGATAGATTTTTAAAATCTTCATGGGATCCTTGTATGTTTATATAACCAGTCACCTCTTTTAACGTACTAAATACTTCTAAACGGTCAGGATGCATTGCTTTGATACGCTGGCCAAAACTAAAGTTGGCAAAAACTTGTTGAAACCCTTTAAATGTTTGATCCAAGATGGTTAGCGAACCTTCGATTACAGTACAGTCTTTAAAGCTATCGATGTTGCTATCATGTATAGTGGCCACGCCTTCGCACGTTTTTGGACATGGACCATCGCACAATACACATTCACCGTTTACAGCTTGTAAAATGTTATATTTTATAATTTAGACAAATATATCTTATATACAAAAAAAAAAAAAAGTATAATTCCTTACTTTTTTCTTTGGTGGGCAACTTCGTACACATGCTCCGTTGTCTTTAAGTAAATGTTCAGGACAGTTCTTTACGCAAGTTGCGCCATAAGCATACTTTCCATTGGGATTTGTTTCCCAGGAATACGTTATAGAATTATAACGTTGCATCGCTGGACATTCTTGAGTGCATACACCGTCGTCATAGAAATTTCGACATGCCTTCAAATTGAAAAAAAAGTAGGTTATTTAAAGAGTAATAATTAATAGTATAATATATTATACTTACAAGGCAATCACTTTGTTTTGGTCCGGTACAACCACCAGCACAAAACAAATGACAACAGTCTCTGGGTTTGGGTCCAAAACATCGACCCTGGTAACATTGGGGACTACAGTTGATCTTTGAAAATTTTTGACAGTTGTGAGGCCCTTCTCCCCAACATCCACCCGTACATGACTTATCACAAGGTGGACATTCTCGTTCCGAATTGGAAAAATTATACATGTACATCCATTTGGCCCCCTGCCCGGTGATGATCTCATCCCAGTTAATCGAACGCATATGGCACAGATTATAGTTATCGATCATACCCACATTGCCAGCTAATATGTCTAAAATAATAATAATAAAAATAAAAGAATGTGTTGTGAAAAAAACCATTAAAATTTGAAAATATTAAAAAAATAAAGTACCTCTGAGAGCTGGTAATTCGAGATTGTTCATTTTTGATAACATGACTAATAGCGAAAATTCTTCTTCTTTCACAGCTAATTTGAACTGAGTTCGGCCTCGAATTATTTGTAGTCGGGGTAACACGATTTTGCTGACGTCCACGTGAGTAATCAAAACATACCCGGTCACCTCTCGTATGTGCTGCAAAAAACTTAAGTCTAAGTGTTCGTCCTGTAACCACGTCAGTTCCAGATTGCCGTCCACATATGTGCAATTGGTGTATCGATCCTTGAGGTTCCGGTAATGGTGGTCCCGATTTGACGGTACAGACAGACGGCCATTGGTACCGATACATACTGTAAATCAAAAAAAAAAAAAAATACATAAGACCTCGGTTAATATAGATAACATAGATAACATAGATAACACAGATAACATGTAAAATGCTTATAAAATTCTGACTTTTAGGTAAATACAAAACATTGGAATTGGTGTAATACATGCTATTACATAAATACGAAATATGACACTTTTACGTTTTAATTTTTGAACATGATGGATTCCATCGCAGAAACTCTTTTCCATTGGAAAATTCTATACGTCTCTGCAAGAAAATATTATTTTCATACTCCTCCGCCTCCATACACATAAAATATCCTCACATAAGTGTGTTAATCCTCAAGCAATGGTATGTATGACCGCGACGGTTCTGAGTACACTCTAAACAACAACAATGATGATGATGAAGATGATGTGGACGACGGCGACGTCGCTAGTCATTCTCACGTTATTGTTACGTTTACGCATTGTTGTTGTTGTTGTCGATGGAACGACGGCAGTAATATTAACAATAACAATAATAATAATGGAATAATGTTGTATAAGTGTAAGGCAATACGAAACAGCAAAACGGGTGTTGTAGTATCAAATTTTTAATTAAAGTCCATCGCACTGCAGGCGCCAAAAAGCAGTTCATTTTCCTCTGTACTGCACACGCAGGATCGAATTCCAAAGCATACAATACAAAGTCATGAAAAAACTGATAATTAAAAACGTCTTTTTCCCTCGGGTATTGAATACATATGTTTGGACTAATATTGTGCCTCTTAGCTATAGCAAGCTTGTCAACTGACGACACACACGATCGAGTCTCGACGATTGGGAGACAACTATAACCCGTAAGAATTATTATTATTATTATTATTAGAAAAGAAATACAAAAACTATCACAGTTTGATCTCATACGAATCTGGTTTAATTAAATTTCGGGCAGATTATTTAGTCGTTTTCTTAGGTTCTATAGTTTTTTCCGCTAGACAATGAGTAACAAGAATGTTCATTGTTAAGATTTTAATTTAAAAAAATACAATACACTATTAGAAAATTAAATTATAAAGAAAAATAATGTTTTTCACATTATTAATGTCATTAGATATCTGAACTTATTTATAGTACGAACAAATGGAAGCCAATTATCTTGGAAAATATATGTACGAGCATCTGTATTTCAAAATTACTACACGTGTAGTAGAAGTTATTACACTATTGGACAAATCTGATATTATCTGCATAAAAATTATACAGCAGGAATAATAAAAGACCATTTTTATTTTTTATAAATATTAACTTGCCACGGGTTTATGCAAGAGCAATCGCACGAAAAGGTTTTTAATTGAGTTTGAATTAAAAAACCAGTCGGAGATTTCTTTACCAATGTAGTTTACGTTTCGATATGTGGCTTTTATCGGTCTACTAAATTTTAAAAGAATTTGCGAGTAATTGAAAATACCGGTTTTGATTTCATATGACTTCGCTGGAGTAGCTATATCAACAAAAGCAGCATATTATAACACATATTATTGCTTTAGAGCGAGTAAAGAACTGGTTTTGAGATTTAAATCGGATACCTTCAGTTTTTGAAAATACTAAGTCTCTATTTTACGTATTATAAAGTATTTTCTGTTCTTGGTCTACAGCGATTAATCCTTGAATTCATCACAGGTATAAACGTAATTTAAAATTGTTTTATATGCTTCTTAGTATCTTTGTAATGTCTCAGTTAATATTAAATCGCAGGTAAAAATATATGAATGTTTAATGAATTATCATTATAATGAAAAAATTATTTAATTCTTTTTTTTAATATGATACTAGTTACGGTAGGAATCAGTAAGAGGCTTGAAATATTTTTCTCGTACCCGAAGTACAAATTCTAAATTACTTTGGTGTCCTGCAGTGAGGGATCCCACAAAATGTAACTGACGTACGCCCACGCCTATAGTTGCGTCGCATCGATTTCATTACAATAGATATCCAAAATTTAAAGAAAGAAACCAGTAAATAATATCTCGGGAGTATTTATTATTATGTATAAGAAACCGGCATAAATGTTTTCAGTTAGACTATGAGAAGTTTAATATATTTCAAAGAAACGTAAGTTATATGTGCATGTAAAATTCTTGCAAATTCCGATAAGAATATATATATATTAGTTAGGTATTAAAGTATATTTTTACTGTTGTTATAATGCACAAATAAGACAGTAAAAAGTCTTTGGATACATAATATGAATTTACACGAAAGTTAAATAATAAAAATTATATTAGTTTCAATTAGAATATTATTATATTATTGTGTTGACCAGCACACAGTTTTAAATTGCTTGATTTTATAATTTGTTCATTTAAATTGAATTTTTCATTTAAAAATAAAAATTACAAATATTTTGATCACGAAAAAAAATAATTAGTAATTCATTTTGACGGATAACGTAAAATAAATAATACCGTAACTAAGAAGAAATTCCTGTTCTGACAACTAAATTTGAAAATATTTACAAATATTTTAAAACATAATAATGTAATACTATACACTTGCATGGAGCTTCCATTATTATTCCTCAAATAATTTCATATTTTATTTTTATCTTTACTTAGATGACACGATTTACCGTCCCTAAAATTATTTATGTGTATTAATTATGAAACAAAAATACAAAACATTAAATAAAGTGCAAAACAACTTCAACATTAAGTTACTTTTTATAATTTTTTTTTGTACGTTTAACCACTTTATCAAATTGTCCTGCTTTCAATGAAGCGTTAAATTTGTCTAAAAACAAAATACATTTAAACATTTGAGCAACAAATAAAATTGTTTACGTGAAAGTTGGAATGAAAGATTTTTGGATAATAATTTGTATAAAGTACAAAATTATAATATAATATTGCACTGCTTTGGTAGAAATTATTGTAATTATATTTTATTCCATCTAAAATGTACGAACTTGCATATTATATAAAAGGGTTTTTTTTTTTTTAAATATATTTTGATTTCTTGTAAACCGAGAAAAGTTATCGAATAAAACATTTACTTCGATTTCATCTTGCGTATACTCACAACACGCAATAACGATGAATGTTTACACATAACCTTAAACATATGTATAGGTGGGACGTTGATTCGCAGAATTATAATCGTCATCCCGTTTCGTTTTTTTTTCTTAACACATGTTTATTAATAATAATGATATATTCGTGTGCAGCACACTCGTACGTAGACAAAGTAGCATAAAACAGAGAAATACAATATATTATAAATACGTGCGTGTGTACGATTCGAACCATTGCACCGCGGTGGAGTCGATAAAAATCACTTCAAGGCTAAAAAAGATTTCGTGAATTCCGTCATTTAAGTGCGGGTGTAAAAACGTAAACAACACGGTAAACGTATAAACATGTGTAATAAAATGTTTGGAAACGTGCGCGGGGAACGAAACGTGGTGGACCGGTGTGCAGTTTAGGAGGAGAGTCGCAGGGCGCGATATCAATCATTTTCGGCCACACGAACCAGCGCGTTTACGTTTCAGCGGTCCGCCCCGATCCCGACCTGTTTTATCAGTCATTACGACAACGAATATAATATAATATCTGATAAGAAATAATTTTTATTTTTTTTTTCCTCCGTCCGACGAAAAAACAACGTTTACACGCGGACTGCAACACGACGACCAAAACCATAATATGAGAACCACCTGCGCGCACACAGCACACAGGAGAACCCCGACCGCGCCCGCGGGCCGACGGTGCATACACGCGGGCGCTCAGACCTGAAACCAGCCGCCACCGCCGCCGCCGCGTATAATAATAATAATAATAATACGTACGATATGTGGTACTACATGGTATTCGGTACGCTTCGAGTGGATAGGTATGTGCCCAGTCATCGTCCCCGGAGGCTTTGTGTATAATAATTATACGTATTTTTTCTTTCTTTCCATCTCACTCTCTCTCTCTCTTTCTATCTATCTTTCTTTCTATTTCATACTCACACACGCGCATAATCCTTTTTTATTCAAATTTATTTTTATTTTTTTTGTTCTAAACCGAAATTATTACAGCTATGTAAATGTATGTATACATATTTATACAGCCCCGTCTACAAGAATACTGCAAGGACACAGCGGCGGACACTCGAGGGATACAGAACCGAACTAGCCCCACTCGAGTGTCTTTATTCATCCTCCGTATTACCACCTACCAAAACGGGATTTTGATAAAAATATTAATAATAATAATAATAATAATAATAATAATAACGACGTTGTCCGTGAGAATTGAAGCCGCGCGCGATCGAGGTGTAACATGCGGTTCGAAAACGGATTAACCCTAGAGGTCTAATTATATAATTTTGATTTCTAACGCGTACAAAACGATTAATGTACTCAAATTAGGTACACCGCGAGCGCGATGTAATACGGCTTGTTATTTTACCGTGGTTCTAGAGAAAATATATACATTTTTAACTATTCATATTCATGTTGTTGTGATTTACGGCAGTACATTAATATTTTAACGCGGCGCAATTATTCAAACAGGTATACAGATTTGAAAGAAAAAAAATTAATGTACATCAAGTCCGATGGAAAAATGTATATGTATATATATAATACAACATAGGGTAGTTTCGAACATCACACTATAAAATAGATATTCTCTAAATATTTCAACTCAAAACGTTAAAAAAAAAGTATCTTACACCTCTGTTTCATATTTCGTATCGTTATTATAATATGAATTATATAATAACATTATGATTTAAATAAATAATAACTTACGTGTGCAATATATTTTAACGCGTCATAAGGCTTCTTCGAATTCAATATACTTTTCCAACCACGTTACGACTTGCAACGGAATAGATTACATGGTTACGAGTATATGCCAAGTCACCGAAAAAAATTTCGCGGACAAACGATTCTACGTACGATATGTACAAGACCACGAGCATATGTTTATTGCATGTTTAAAAACGTATTAATGTTTGTACATTTATAGCAGTCAGAGGTCTCGTTTTTAAATATAATTCGAAAAACGCAATGAGAATACTACACGGTAGAATTCGTAATAAATATATACGTGAATATAATTTTTTTTTTTAATACTATAACTCGAGCGAGCAGACATCATATCAAAACAATCATCTTAATAAAATACATACGTACGCAGTCAAATATATACACACACACACACACACACACACATATATATTTAATTAATTTCCAACATTTCGAAGGACTTGTGTATTTATTAAACAACGTGTCAGCTGTGAAGTGGCCCGTCAAACGCGAACGGACGTGTACCCATTGGGTAACGAGCTCTTTTATACGGCGGCGGCACGACGACTGGGGATTGTTCGCTCGGCCAAGCGTGAATTTTTTTTAACATTTTTTCATTTATTTTTTATTAATAATTCAGTATCTCATACGCACACACCGGTAAACCTGTTTCTCTTTATAAACCTCAGTCGTGTCCTAAACAATTATATTTTATTTATCGTTATTATTATTATTTTTATTATTAATATTATACTATTAATATAAATAATATTTTATAAATATGTGCGAACGTACACGCCATATAACGTATAGATACGAATGCATATACACGATACATTACGACTAAAGTGTTCACACAGCAGCTGGAGCGAAAGCTTTTAGACAAGATGTACGTATAAATAAATCGTGAGCAAATATCGAAAAATTACATAAAGTGGGGAAGAAAATACATTATGGGTATGTACACGTCGCAGTACATAAAATATAAATAGATAGTGCAAACCGGTTGGTTTTATTGAAAATAAACGTGTCTCGTATATTGTTCACACATACGCACGCACGCACTTCGTACGCATACACGTGCCGATTAATTTTTAGCAAACGTTTGATTTTATTTTGCCATGTTGCGTTCGGATTATTAAAAAATATGATTTTGAAAATCAACCATATACGTGTGTATGCGCTAGAGTAGTAAGAACATGGTGGTCATGTTATATTATAATATTATTACAACCACTTCTTATACGCACTGCGTGCATTTGATTTTCAATTTATACGAAAACGTTGAACGCACGATAGGGGTGACACAATCGAAATTCATACTAATCACACAGAGTAGTTTCGTTCGTCATTTTCTGCGATTGAAAAAATGACATAAAATAGAAAATCCGTAAACCATTACCGAGTACTTTGTTTATATGGTGAACGTGGTGAGTAAAATAGGCAGGCGTTCACAAGTGCCATCAAATAATATAGAATACTGTAAAATTATAATCCGAAATTTATGGCACGCACTTTTTTTTTTTTCTACTCACCGGTGACGAGGCAATGAACACCGTTGTCGTGTTCATAACCGACGATAACGTTCGACACATTTCGGTGAATATAGGATTAATATACCTTTATTCCTACATATATGACGACAACTTGCAATAATTATAATGTAACACAAGAATGTGCAACTTTTCCGGGAGAACACACGGTTTCTGAACCTCTCAAAGATACATCGTCACGACAAAATAACACAACACACACACACATAACACTCTTTCCGTAAGAACGCTATCTTCTATGAGAATAATTTGTTGCAAACAAAATAATAACAATATTATTAGTTTACTTTTTATTTTATACTGTATGCCTCAAATATAAGTTTGCGAAGGCTTCAAATAATCAGGGCCTATGGTAGGTATGAGTAAAATATTGTATACATTTATTATTCATGGATAAATATATACTTTTATATTTTAGAACGATGAACTATGTTAACTAATAACTATGTTTAAATAGTATCTACATTGATGGCACTCAAAGTTCAAGATAAATTATATGGTTTAGTAAACAATTTTTTTCTTTGTTTATTATTGAACTCATAAGAATGCAAATTAGTTAACAATTATAAATCATACTATAACTATACAAAAGGTCAGTTGAGGTACAATTCAATTAAAAATTCAATTATTTTAAACTAGGCGATAAATTTATAATTATTTTTGGGTAAATCTATACATTTTTGAGAAGATAATTCATAAATATAATTATTATTGAAAACGGGTACACAATTATTAATAGTAAATATAAAAGTGATCATAAATTTTTTATGAGTTCTAAGATAACATTTTTAAAATATTTTATTTCTATTATATTATCATATATTAGTCCCGTATAATTAATTTAATTTAAGTTTTTCATTGGTATAAACTATGACCTGTGTACACCGAATAAAATCTGATATTTTTCATATAATTGTGTAACGATTTGATATAAATTTACACCAAATTAGGTAGAGTTCTACCTTACTGATAATACATATAGATAACATAGACATTAGATATGTACGACGCATACTTATGATTTCGAATGAATTTTTTTTTTAAGACAGTACTACGCAATTCAATCGCCACTTGGCTGAACAAGAAACATGTAATGCAATTTACGTATTTATGTGTGCGTATAAATTAGGGAGAGTGTTCGGGACTCGAAGCAATTATTACACACGAATAAATAATACATAATACATACATAGGGATAAAATATTAGTTGTATCGTTGTAAACAAGTAGGTTAGGTCTTAAACTATATTAACTAAGAATAATATACACATGTAATAGGTATAAGTTATATCTCTTTGCAACTCTTTGGGTGAATTATGAGGAAAATAAGAAACATGCATAAATAGGAATAACAGATAAATTAATTAAATACGACACTTACTTTTGCCTTTGACGAACTCGGACGTTTTCTCGACACCAGCCGTGGCGGCTGTAGCCGCGTGGAACACTAAGACGGCAACTAGCAACAGCCTGCACCGCCATAGTCGCCGGAAGAAAACGGACGGAAAAGCCGCATTCATGATAACATGTTATCACAGTGCTTGGATCGCGGTTACACCGACGCATCGCTCGTCGTACGACATTATAATTTCACGGGGGGGGGGGGGGAGAATAATTTGTATTACTCAAAATACTCCGATCATATTTTTATAATAATACACAATGGACACTACAAACTACTAATGCTACTACTTTTACGCGACTGTTGAAGATTTTCGGGTTTTTTTTTTCGTTATCCCCAACACTCGTCCCCGTAGTATCTTACAGTGTAAAAAAACATTTACACTATTATCGCGTAGTAGTGTGCTGTTGCTGCCGGTTCGGACTGCGCCACAGGCGCCTTATCGGTTCTGTAAAAAACATCATGCACATATTCTTTATAGAGTTTGTTTTATTTATTCTTATGTCGACGACATGACGCGGAAAAAATACATTACGAACAAATATAGGCCATTGTTTGAGACGTGACCAACGTGTATTTATATTATACTGCACAAGCAACTTGTTTTATTTTTTTTCAATATTTATTATTACTTTTTTTTCGCCACCGACCAATAAAGTATATATTACAGATTGTAAACACTGACGACGGTGTTTGCCGATTTTGCGTTTATTATTTATGCTACACAGTTGCGTACACGATAAAAAAAAAAACGTGTGCAGTGTATTATAATTGTTTTGTTTCAACCCCGAACGCGCGCTGCGCACACCGCGGTTCATTTCGATTCCATCGGATACATTCTTTAGTACAATCCTCTAAATAATCCTCTACGCGGAGGCGCCAAGACTAACCCGCTGTGCGATGGCATAATATATAATAACATTTACAATAAAAATATATAATATAGATATATTGTATAAATATATATATATTACTTAATCGTTGCAACGCAACATGATAATGGTAAAGTGGACCCGGAGTGGTTTTTAAGAGGGTTGTAATTAAAGTTTTGAACGTGACGAATCATCCAATAATAAATACCATTCTATGCATACGTGCAAAAGGTGATCACTATACATATATACAATCACAAAAAACCAATTAAATTCGACACACGCCTGTCATACAACATATTATATATGTTACATATGTCTTGAGGGATCGGGGGGAGGAAAAACATAGGTATAGTATGACACGTAAAACGACCGACAGTAACAACGAATATAATTTGCCGCGAGCTACGAGAACATAATAAGTTATAATTTTATATTAAGATTATAAAATCGAAGAATATTTTTATATCGTATATGTTGCACAGGTAGACCGTGGAAGACGCAAACTCAATTGTTATGCAAACAAGTGACTATACACTTGACATATACTTGGTTTAGTAGATACTATATACACACTAGTCAAAAGGCAAATAGTCTTGTTTATTATTTTTCTAACGTTCAATTGTAAAATATTTGAAAAAAAAAATCATACTGATTTTGTTTGAAATAATATTTTTATTACGATATATTGTTTCAATATGGCATTATTCACAAGTCGACGAAACATATATAATATAATATACATAGATGAGATGTATAATGTATTATTATATAGGCAGGTACTTGTAGTCTACATCAATCAATAATATTATAAACGATCCTAATAGTAACGTACCTTACAGTTTCTAACAGTAGTTCCCGTATATCAAATTCTATACTATGACAACATTTCAAATCTATTTCGATTAGGAATGACGTATCGGCAATGGATATTGTGTAATTTATAATACTCGTAATACTAAAACGCGTTATCACTACGGTTAATACTGGCAATATACTACTACTCACTATACATTATGTTCGCAAATGTGTATAATATGTCAGTCTTCTGATTACCTAATACGTATTGAGCTTGTATTGCGTTGCGCAAGTAGTTTTATTAAAATGAGCTAATTATTTATGTTTGTAACTAGTGAAACCATTAGCCTTTAATCGATGAAGTCCAATAATTTTTTAAATATTTGACATATGAATATAGCGGCATTCAATTAAAAAATTATCACAAAACACAACGATCGATTTCACTGGTTGGCTTATGCCCCTCTAGCCCCTCTAGACGAACACAATCGCCAGAAATGTGATTGTACTGGTGTTATCAATAAAAACAATATGGCGCCAGAAATATTGATATGACATCAGCTCCATCAAATTACACACTCATGAGAAATCTTGCCGGCCTTGATATCAGCTACCGAAGAGTTAGCAGTGGTATAGAACGCAATTCATTTTTTTCTATTACATTATGATTATATGGTTTACAACAATGCCAACTGACTTATTATGACATTATCATAAAATAGAACACTGGTGTATGAATAGTACAAACATAAATCTTCATACGTTTCAACAGAAATCAATATTAGAAAGTTTTTGGTAATTTTATAATTCAAGTTATGTAATATAGATAAAAACAAATTTTCTGTATTTATATTTTTTTTTATGTACATATATATATATATATATAATGTATATGTTTAAATTAAACTACCTTATCATTAGAGTGTAACAGAAGTTGACTCTTAAAAATATACCCGGTATATTGTCTAACTATATTGTCCGACTATATGTTAGTAATAAATAACAGACACAATTTAAATTGGTAATAACCAAGAAATATTTGGGTATGGTGTTAAACACGCAGAATCTCGTCATAATAAATCATCTTGAAATAAATAGGTATAGTCGTGAATCAACGAGGCATTTTTTGCGGTATAAAATAATAAGAAAACATATGGTGGATATAATTCGTTATTAATTATCGTATAAAGAGACACACCACAGAATATGACGACATTATTTAATTCTGAGTTGAATATTAAATAGAAAAAAAATAAATATTAATACGTTTTGATAAATTTAATTAATTTGTAATTACTAAAATTGTTTGTCCATATAGTAGGTACACGGACATGTAATTATTAGAAATTACGAATATAAATAATATGTTAGTGATGAGTATAAAGATTGCAAATCGACATTGCTCAGATGTATACTGTATATGTAAGATATCGATAATAATAGTTTATAGCTTAATAACACGCACGAGAAATTTTAATTTCTTGTATAAGGGTGCGTTACCGGTTACCACATACCACGATGTATCACGAAAACATCATGATGTTTAATTGCGCGACAACAACTTGTCTACGTTAAAACGTATATCCGTATTAAAAGAAAAAACCACTCATGGATTTAACATTGTAGAATCGAAGTGTTCAAATTATTTGCAGCCGTTAACGTTGAGAATGAAGTATTAAAATGTTGGGCTAGCAACAAAATTTATTCCTGCAACATGTTTATATACATAAATATATAAGTACATAGATATATTCGTACCGACGGGTAAGGTTATACGGAGAAAAACTGAGTACACTACGATGTGTTAAAATGTTTTCTAAACGAAATATTTCGTGCACGACACAATCATGGTTTTTTATTTTAATATTATTTTTTTTTGTCCAAGCGCGTTCGACGGAGTGAAGCAGATTCCAGCCGAGGGGGTACATTCGTTTTTATTGCGGAGAAAACAATATTACATTTATTGTAAAACGGGTCGTAAAAAAAAATAAAACCCGTGCGGGTTAATATATACATTGTACGCACTACGCATTACATACCTAAACACATCACGTGTAAAAAACAAAAAGAATAAGATCCTATGCCTGCAGCGCGATGAACCCTGCTGTATAAATGCATGGTATATTACAGCTGGAACGCACAAAATATTGTGTCGAGTATACGAAAATCGCGTCTGAAATGGTTAAAATATGTTTATGCCTGCCAGCAGCAGCGGTGGCGGTGGCGGCGTCGGTAATAATATTTACACGTTCGAGTTGGCGGCTGCTGAGGTAATTACTACCTTTGGACCATGTGCTCTGTAACGGCGTATCTTAAGCGTTTGAAAAAAATAACGTTTCGATACAAAACGATATTAATGACCGTTAAACGACGTTTAGGGCAGCGCTATACACCCGCAACGTAAAATATATTTGATCAGTACAGGGTGAATATGGCGGGTTACAGAAGGATATTTTTTTCAATTTATCACATTTACTAATCGACGAATCTGTCAGGTAATATTAAAAAAAAAAAAAAGGTTTTAGTCTTACAGGCTCGTAGAAAAATGGTACAGACCACTGCGGGGGATCCAGAGGTTTTTGATTTTGAAAAAAATTATAAATCGTAATTATTGCGCACCTTATACATCGATCGGTATCTTGCGGATATTTTTGTAGATACCGATGATTCTCTATTATTAGGTTTGTATTTGAAGACTTTTAATTAAATTATACACATTTTTGTTTTTGGTTAAGACTCTAACATAAGATGAAGTGGCCAATACCATTGGCACTATCCCCGCATCCGTTCGTGAGTAGTTACACTATGACCTCCTCGTGACCGCGGATATTTTTATTTTAATTTTTTTAATTTTTTTTTTTTTTTTATAAGAGGAAGGAGGAGAGTTCGTGACTGCACTTAATCGCCGCTGGTCGGCAATTAGTCAACACTCAACAGGTATCCTACGGACGGACGACGCCGCCACACTGCCGCGCCAGTTTGGTCTTCACTGCTCTACCCCGCCCGACATACGCTTTTTCCTCGTCCTCGAACCCCTTCATTAGTCTCATACACTATATTCCACCTATAATATGGTATCCATTCGACACGATTGCTCGCACACGACACACATGGACAGCTCACGCGTTTCTTTTTACGGTTTTTCGAATGCGTATATCTGCTTACACGAAAATCGTACACCGATCGTTGAACCTATTTAGGCATCTGTACATGTGTTATGTTAAAAATGTACTCCTTTATCGAAATCGGACACAAGTATGACAAGGATATAGACATTACCAGGTGCGTAGCCAGAGGGGTGTTACAAGTGTAGTAACACACCCCTGACCTTGTTAAACTTAAGTTATATCAAGGTAAAAATTCGTCATAAACCATGATGAACACATATATTTATCATAACAAAATATATATTCATATTACGAAAACAATACTCGTAATGCAAAGATTCAGCTTCTCATTATACCGTTTTGTCTAATAAACTAAAACCATGGTTTTGTGTCGTTTCATGCACGATTTAAAATATTTATAAGAGATAAAATATACATTTGAAATTTTAACAAAATACTTAAATACTTTCTCATACCTTAGTACATTTCACATGAATATACATGTATATTCATGTGTAGTGTACTAATGTGTTTGCTTGTACAATTAAGTATACGTAAAGTTATTATTTTGTTGTGTATAATTTTGTCGGTTAATTTTGAATAACATCCCTCTTTTGAAATACCTAGCTACGCGCCTGGGTATTATTACAATCACGAAAACATTTTTTGGA